AAAATAGTTTTTACTTTTTTTTTGGAGATGAAGTCACACTCTGTCACCCAGGTTGGAGTGCAGTGGTGCGATCTCGGCTCATTGCAACTTCCACCTCCTGGGTTCAAACGTTTCTCCTGACTCAGCCTCCTGAGTATCTGGGACTACAATGCACGCCGCCACGCCTGGCTAATTTTTTGTATTTTAGTAGAGATGGGGTTTCACCGTGTTGCCCAGGCTGGTCTCGAACTTCTGAGCTCGGGCAATCCGCCCTCCTCGGCCTCCTAAACTGCTTGGATTTAATGGTTTAAAAAAAAAAAAAATCAAAAGAATAATAGTAATTCCTGACACATAAAAATGCTATGAAATTCAAGTTCCCGTGCTCATAAATAACAGGGAACAGAGCCACTCCTGCTCAATTTATGCCTTGCTTATGGCTGCTTTGACACTACAACAGTTGGTTTGAGTAGTTGCCAAAGTGACTGTCTAGCCTAGAAAGTTGAGTTGCCAGATTAGCAAATAAAAACACAGGACAATGCAACAAATACGTCTGAGGACATATTTAGGACATATTTTTACTAAAAATTATTCACTATTTATCTGAAATTCAAATTTAACTAGGTGTCCTATATTTTATCTGGCAAGCCTACCACAAAGCCTAAAATATTTACTCTCCAGTCCTTTACAGAAAATGTGTGTGGACCTCTGCTACAGACTATGTTTCCTGACCTGTTGAGGCATTTCACCGGGGATAAAAGTTCTTTGTTTACATAGAGTCTTTGAGAGCCCTGACAATTTTCCTTTTTTTTTTTTTAAACAAAAACAAAAACAACAAAACCAAAAAAAAATTAAGATTTTCCAGAACCTTTAATATGCTAATATGCATTGTAAATACTAAAGAGAAGAGAGGCAGAATGAAGTGTTTTCCAAACTCTATTTGATCACACATCACTATTTGGTTTTGCTTTGCTTAATGGTCTTGTATAACTAGTGTTCCTCATAGCACACTTTTTAATGTCCAAACATCAGGCCAGCCCATCAAAATCCCGTTAACTCTTCATCCACCTGAGGCATAGTAAGCATAATAGAACCAACGGAAGTGGTAACAATGTTTCAATGGGCCGGGCACGGTGGCTCACGCCTGTAATCCCAGCACTTTGGGAGGCCTAGGTGGGCGGGTCACGAGGTCAGAAGATCCAGAAAATCCTGGCTAACACGGTGAAACCCCGTCTCTACTAAAAATAAAAATAAATAAATAAATAAAATTTAGCTGGGCGTGGTGGCGGGCACCTGTAGTCCCAGCTATTTGGGAGGTTGAGGCAGGAGAATGTCGTGAACCCGGGACATGGAGCTTGCAGTGAGCCGAGATCGCGCCACTGCACTCAAGCCTGGGTGACAGAGTGAGACTCTATCTCAAAAAAACAAAACAAAACAAAACAAATGTTTCAATGAATAAAATGCATCCATAGTTTCACCTTTAGATTCTAGGAATATATCCTGTCCTTCAGCCTGCCTTAACTTCTTCTGTTGGTGACATTTGTGGTGAAAGTTCCAGCAGGGAGGGAGGTGAAGCCACAGGGATAGGGTGAGCATGGGAGGAGGGGATCAGGAGGTATGGAAAGGAAACTGCAGGCAAGTTTTGTTTTTGTGTTTAACTTGCTTGCCTCATTCCCCTTATGATTGACTGAATTTCACCGGGGCAGGGAAAGAGCAGGGCCACCTGCTTTGGGACCTGCAGTGAAAGGTAGAAAGTAGTAGTGATGAGTCACAGCACCGCTTCCTTCCTGTGTAAGAAAGAGATGCAAATAGACTAGAGACAGAAATTGATGCCTGCTGATATTTGAATTGCTAAAGAGTATTTCTCATTTTTGTTATTTTTTTGAAAATCTTCAAGGTTCACATATGAGTTTTTAAAAAAACTACATGCTATCATTACTTCAGATCAGGATTCCAAGGAAAATGAATTTTTGCTTTAACAATTTTAATAATGTATAAGCTGCCATAAATAACTCCTCCCATTTTATTCTCTACTGCTCTTTTTTACGATTCTCTGGATGCTCTTTTATGATTCGCTTTCACCTCAATAGTCTTGCTCTCTTTGGAAAAAGAGATGGTTTTATGGAAGCCTTCACTGGACAAGGTAGATCAGCATGGGAAGGTGAACATACATTTATTTTTTTTACGTGTCTCAATCCAGATATATACTTGGATTCTCTTAATCTAGGCACACAGTAAATTAATCAATGATGTGGATTCAGCTTTGGTAATTATATGGATGAGAACTATTAAGTGTTAAATCTTTTTTTCTAAATTTGTTCAAAGGATTTCATTTCAGTTTCTGAAAAGAGGGTAAATAGTTCAGGTCAGTTACCATAGTTTGATAGTTAATGGAAGGAGGAGATGCAAAAACACTAGACTGTAGGAACTTAACTCTATGTTACCATCTAAGATTTCATATAATGACACTGAAATCACAGGCTGTTCATCTGAAAATCTTCTAATTATCAAACAGGGTGGCCAAAATTAATAATATAGGTTATTACCTTTGCTTTTTTCTTTTTATAACACTCAAGTTCCTCTACTTGTTTACCTAAATTTAGTATCTAGCAAAATTATGGGTCAATGGAATACACATGTCTTAGTTGCCACTGGCCCCTCCCATTAGAACTGAGTGACCTAAAGAGTCTGGGTGGCTAGCTGGAATGCCTCAGTGTAATCAGAGTTCCAAAAACTGTATTATGAATCATGGACGTTTGTCAAATCTAAGTATAAAATTGTGCTAGTGTTGCCTCAGCTGCTTTCTGAAGCAATATCTAAGAATAGTTGGGTCATATTCAGTATCAGATGCACCAAAATAAACCCTGGAGATTTTTAGGCTTATGACTTTTGGAAGTGGCTGACATTCAGACTTTTTTTTATCCATGAGTACTATAATCCGTGATTTAAATATTCTTGTTTACCAGGCATTTAGATTAACTGTGCTCCACCTGTTGCCAATCATTCTGCATATATTTGATATATTAGACATGTTGACGCTTGTATAAATATTTAGTAACCATGAATTGATTTTAATTTTATTTAAATGCCCCAGCAAATATAGGTAATGGTGGCAATTCACACAGAGAAATACATGTGAAGCAAGCTGGACAACATTCTCATTACTCTGTTATGAAACCTATCAGAAACATGGAAACCTTGAAAAGCACCTGTCAAATGGCTTTGAAGAAATGATGCCATCATCTCTCGCCATAATAAAGAAACAGAATCACCCAGTATTGAATGTATTTCAATAATAAATAGAGTGGTGTCTTTTCCATAATTGTGTTAAAGAACATTTCTTTTCCATTCAATTTGTTTATTAAACTCCTATGCCAGGTACTGTTGAAAATACAAAATTAAATAAATTAATACAGAATGAGCAAAAATAATTTTAAAGGTATAAACATAATTCACCATGATGAGTAAGAGTTCTTTCTAATAATTTTGTAGGAATGGTAAATCTACTTCTTAAAATGTTTTCCTTATTAGAAATTAAGTTACTGCTTTGCCTATTATATAGTTACATATCACATTCATTAATTAAATTTTATTCTGAATGATTATTATACTATGGCCCATAGAACACCTTGATCATCTCTAAGAACAGCCTGAACTTAAACCATTAAAAAGATAGGTGTCCCTTCTTTTGAAAACAAGTTGTGGGGAAAGAAAATCATCCTTTTCTTGGAACTTGGTTCTGGTGTTTAGCAATACATTTAGTTCAATTAAAAAGTTCCCACTGGTTGCTGCTATGCCCCATATTTTAACTGAAGGGAAACAAAAGCAGACTGATGTCCTGAAAAACTAATAATATTTTATATATTCATGGTAATTTTATATTTTATATGTGAAAAATTTTCAACTGGTATTATTTATGTTTTGATACTAGCTCATTAACAGTCTCATTTGACTTCCAAGATGAATATTACTAATGTCAATTTCCAGCTAAACTTACCAGTTTTTCTGCATTTTTGAAAGTTCACACTGTTTTATTAGCAATTCTACCTTCAGAGACTTCCTTGTTAAATTTTGCATTTTTAGATAGATAATATTTAAGAAGACTAAGAAAGTCCTGATGATACAGGCAACTTACTGGGAATGTGTTCAAAATCCAGTTTTATCTGAGGTAAGAGATCTAGGTCAAATGCATCTCTTAACCAGCTATAAGTAATGTATCTGTTGTCTTGCATTCTCATGGGACAATCTAAAGTGCAAAATATGAGAATAATTTTTAACCTATATAGTTCCTTTGGAAAAGGTTTGAGAAACAAGTCTTTGAAGCTCAGTCATGACAAAGATCCACAGAAGAGGGTTAGTTTTGGGTAGAGTCAAATAGTAAGTTTCTTTGTCCTCTTGGTGCTGTGTTCAATCTCCTGAAAGAGCTCATCACTCATGGCCCGACTATGGTAAGTTCCCAAGAATCCTGTGGAACCTATACAGATTGTGGAAAATAGGAAATAGTCTGTAGGCTTCATTACATAGTGATTATGTAAACGAAGATACCAAGGATGGTCAAAGTGCGTAACCTCAAGAGCTTCTTGAGGACGAATTGTGCAACAGAAGCCAACACTACAGGCATATCTTAGAAAGACCATTTACTTCAAAAGAATCTTTGACAGAAGGAAGCAATGAAATTTTCTAGGAACTATAGCAGCTGCTATAGGAATAGAAACTTTTCAATTGAAAGAATACTTATGGGAATAGAACCTACTATAACATAGAATTTGTATTAATGAGTAAGCACTTTCTCCATTTTTTATACTAATTGTGGGGTATATTGTAGTCAGTGTTTCTAAAGTGAAGAATCAGCCTCTGGAACAATTCAATGAAGTGATTTTCCTAGGTTACTGAGTAGGGTAACATCTCAGTTGGACAGCTTAGCCCTTTCACACCTCTGATGACTCTGATCCAAGCATTTATGGAGAAACACTTGTCTTTCAATGGTGTTTTGGGGAAAGAAACAACTACTCATCTTAGCAGGAAACTATGTCATATCAGGATTTAACTGTAATATTTAATAAAATTTAAAGGACCTGAAATAAATACATACACGTAAATCTAGATAATGACATGCCAAATTATAGCATAGTCATGATACATAATTTTAGCATGAAAGTACATATTTCATTTAGGTACAAATATCTCAAAGATTTGGTACAATAAACATTTATTAAGAGTTGACTATAACGATGTCTTCTCTATTACTGATATACTAAATATGAACCACTAAATTTTACAAATAATGTGTGAGGCTTTTATTATATTCAGAATACCTTTTGACTTAAAATCAAAAGAGTATAAATGTTATAAGGACAACAAAATACAGTCATTGCTCTAATGCAATCATGTTCCTGAACACATCTGGACAATTTCATAGAAATATATATATACACACACACACATATATTTCATATATACATATATATACACATACATATATATTTCATTTGTCTTGATTGACATAAAAATAATATATTTTCACAAGATGTAACTATTTTGATGTTGTGATTTTGTGAACCACTTGATAACTGCTAACTTTTACAGGCAAAATGTTTTTCCAATGCTTTAAAAATCACTGTCTAATGAGACTCTTCCTTTAGAGAGGCATATTGAAACCTGCAGAGTAATTTGTCCACATTATTGGTAGTATGAACATTTTCAGATAGTAAAATAAATTCATAAAATTTGCTTGGGTTTCATGCATATGAAATCTAATAAAAATATTTTTATGAATTAAAAATTTGTTTTTCATATTAAGGCACAATATATACAGACTGACATAGTCAAATGACATTTATAATTCTATGAAAAATTAACAGTTATAGGTCATAAGATATAGACATTGTAGGAATCAAAGATAATAGAATGATGGTCAAATGAATCCAATTTAGATTTCAGACAGAAATTGGGTTGCTCTTCTGTTGTATTTATGTGTTTAAAGACTTGCAAAATTTTCTCATCTTTTATACATAAAAATATTATTTTCCTGCATTCATTAAAAATACAGAAGTAATGATTGTTTATATACTTAATGACATCCTTTGAAGTATGTAAGCACAAAAAAGATAGGCTTATTTATTGTAAAATAAAAAGGATGACAGTAGGATTGAGACTGCCATTTTTAAGTGAGGGGTTTTTAGTACATATGTGCCAGTTAATAATCCTCCTCACCTAAGACAAATTTGAGTTACAGATATCACTAAGAGTTTAAAAAAATACTTCTCAGGTACTCTTTTTATTACCCATTGCATCTCTGAGTTGTGTATATTCTCTTCTATAAGATTAAATATATATATATATATATTTTTTTTTTTCTTTGGAGATGGTGGTCTTGCTCTGTTGCCCAGGCTGGAGTGCGGTGGTGCGATCTCGGCTCACTGCAACCTCCACCTCCTGGGTTCAAGGGATTCTTCTGCCTCAGCTTCCCGAGTAGCTGTGACTATAGGCACGTGCCACCACACCCAGCTAATTTTTGTATTTTTAGTAGAGACAGGGTTTCACCACGTTGGTCAGGATGGTCTCCCTCTACCTACCTCATGATTCGTCCACCTCGGCCTCCCGAAGTGCTGGGATTACAGGTAATTGTTTTTTTATAAAATGGAATTTAAACCTGTAATGTCTTTTTGAGGAATCAAAAGTGGTCAATGTGATAAATATGATACATAGACACATAATATATATTTTTTCCAGTTTTAAGAAGTTTTGTTAAGAAGGTGTTAAAAATATTTTAAATGTAACAAGTTTAAAGATAATAAAAGCCCCAAGTATTCTAGTTATTTGAGATTACTCTTTAGTCAAACAAAAACATCTATATTATAAATCTTGTAAAACAACTTGAGTATCAAAGTACTTTCAGTATGCATTAATTTAATAAGTTTCAAAGTCAGAATTCTAGTCCAACTGAAACATTTGTAGTCACATATCAGGCTTTTCATAGCTTTACACTATTAAAAAACATTTTAAAAGTTAAATCAACCTAATATGTCCAAAATTTCAACCAGTATCTATTTACAAAGATTTACTTAAAACTAATTTTCATCAAATAAATTGTGTTTTTTGTTTGTTTTTTGATATGGAGTTTCGCTCTTTGCTACCCAAGCTGGAGTGCAGTGGCGCGATCTCGGCTAACTGGAACCTCTGCCTCCCGGGTTCAAGCGATTCTCCTGCCTCCGCCTGCCAAGTAGCTGGAATTACAGGCACCCGCCACCATGTCTAGTTAATTTTTGTATTTTTAGTACAGACAGGGTATTACCATGCTGGCCAGGCTGGTCACGAACTCCTGACCTCAGGTGATCCACCTGGCTTGGCCTCCCAGAATGCTGGGATTACAGGCGTGAGCCACCGTGCCCAGACAAATAAATTGTGTTTTAAATAAAGTTAACATAAATTGACTAGAGTATAATGTGTAAATTATTATACACATTAATCAAAACTAATATCCATGCATGCTGAATCTCTTAAAATAGTCACTTTATCACCTAATGCTTTTCATATATATTCGACTGCATTTTGTGATTTTTACACCCCAATTTTTTTCATGCCTATATAACTTACACCTTTACAATTGGACAGTTAAACTTCAGATAAAAAACTGGTAACATTTTCTTTTTTTAAAAGTATTTTGACTGTGTATCCATTTATTAATATTTACCAAACTTATAACTGAAAACTTTTATTAAATAACTAACATTAGTGGTTTACTATGCATTTTATAAAGGAGAACGTGTTTGTTAAGTTGAAGATCACTGTGCACACCTTACATTTTGACATTTCAAGATATTCAATCATTCACATATCCATTAAGTACTTACTGTATGTCCAGCACTCTTCTAGGTGTTGCACAATTTAATATGTTTCAATATTTCAACAATGTGATATTTTGATACCTTTTATGCTTTTTAGATTATTCAGTCCTTTATAATTTAAATATTTCCTCCTTCTCAAAAGTAGCTGTTACTGTTTATAAAAGAGGCACCTGTTTTTCCTTTAAATTATATACATATTTTATTTTTTGAAGTTAATGAATAAATTCACTGTTATTTCCCAACTCTCCCAACCTGCGATCCTTCTCCCAACCTCTGGCACTTGAATAACAAAGATTAAGGTAATAGGAACCCACAAAGTTTTTCTTAAAAAAAAAAAAAAAAAAAAAAAAAACCAAAACAAAACATCTTCTATCAGAATGGATTGAGTCGTATTCCAGTCCCTAAAGGTGAGAATGGATTCACCTTTGCCCACATCAAAGCGTCATTCAAGGAGATAGCAGATTTCCCGTCTTCAAGGAAAAACACAGGGCCCTGTGCAGTGAGAGTTGAGGAAAGTGAAGATGAGATTATAAATTTGCGAAGTATTTTTAAACTTTCAGAAAGAGAATCACTGCAATAAAAAACATGATATTTAGGCAACGCTAATAAAAATTTAAGAATATGAGAAAATTACTTTTTTTGAGTTGGACCCAAATATAGAAACATTTTCAAATGTCCTAACATTACATCATTATGCCCTAATATCTGTCAAAATAGAATTGTTTTCAATTTAAATCCTTTAAATACAGTAGCACTGCCAATGACAAATACGTTTTGTTAATCTGGTAACTGCCACAAAGTTTACTTATTCCATAAAAGCATATATGCCTAATAATAGACTTAAATATATTTCACTATTTTACTCATGTAGCCTATGTCAGTACATCTGGGGAAATTATTTAAGCCAGAAACTTTAAATGTGCTTTCCAGAAGATGAAGAATATTGTTCTATATTGTATATATAGTTTAAAATATGTTTAGTCATGTGATTTTGTTGCTTATTTATAATTTAGTTGCATCAGTTATGATATATGCCAAGGTAGTTATGAAGAACGAAATGCGAAGCGTTTTCAATCTATATTACCTAGCTCGGGTAAGGAAAAGCATAATTTCAAAAACACAAGATGCAATACATATTATGTTTTCTTAATTAGGTTATAAAGTTGTTGAATTTTGGGTCTGATTTCAAATAATACAACTTGTAGCAAATTATTTCTAGATAATGGAAAGCTCATCATAGGAGTATATAGAGTAGACAGCCTCCTATTAGTAGGCACTAGAAATTTCACAATTATAACCCAAACACATCAACTTTCTGATGAAATAGAAATATCCTGGCAGGACAGTACTCCATCTATACCAGTCATGTGGGCCTCAGTGTACATGAGATAATTAGTAGCTCTTTTCCTGGATGTAGGCTTGGCTACAGAGAGCTTAGATAGTACCTTTTAGGTCAAGGTCAGATGGAGAAAAGAAACCTTAAGAAAAGGAGGAAAGAAACACGAAGGTACCAAGTACTAGAAATGGTACACAAAGCGCAGAGAATGGCACTGATGACATACTCCAAAGATTTCATAATGTTTCTTGCTCTTTACTAAAAGTTATTTAATTTCCTGATTTGGTTCTTTATTTCTGAACGTAAATGGATAATAAAGGTGTATACAACTATGTGTCCTATGTTTTGGAAGATACTGGTTATGTTTTGAGACTAAACTAGCTTGCAGTGGCAAGCTAAGCTACAGTTAGGATTTATATCAGTATCCAGCTGCTTCATTTATCTTGGGTCGCTATGGCAAAACCTGCCTTCTTCATTGGCCTAGCATGAAATGTGACTTTTCACATGAGTAGAAATACATAAGAATCTGCTCAATAAGTTGTGTATATTATTGGGAGGTGGGGATCTTTTAGTCTAATCTGTAGTCTCAATTTGTATTTCAGGGGATTTGGCTTTGTTTACTTCATGGGGACACCTACAACTAGTCCTGGCTCTAAGACAATAAAGATTTCTCTATTTCTTAGAGATAATGGCACCCCTGGGTCATATTGGGAGGCTCTGGTATCATTCATCATCATTAGTTTGACTGTACATTAGGGACCAATCCTTGGCAATTAGACATCCCTCACGATTGATCCCAGTAATTTTTAATTGCTGAAAAGGTCCGTAACTCGATGTAAGAACATGCACAATATATTAATGATATAATATACATCTCTCAGTTTTTAATTGCTTTGCTTTTATACATCATAGATGGTGACTAGAAAGTGAATGTAATCTACTGTGACATAATCATCTGTTGTTGACTGTTGCTTTGTCTCCCTTATTTAATTCCCGTCAGGATATGACCTGTATATATTTTCAAACATAGTTGTTACAAAGTATACATATCATCTGTTACTAAGTATACATATTACATGAATTGCTTCTGTGGTAAGAAGTCAGCACAATTACTGTATCTGAATTTATTTTAAACTGAAAGAGGCCACTTGCACTAACTATGGAAGCACTAGAGGCAATTTTTCTTATTGGGCCCCAGTCCTAAATTACCTACTTTTACCCAAATTAGGCTTATTTTAAGATATCATTTCAAAAAGTAAACACATAAAAATGGTGAAATGCACGTTATGTCTGACATTAGGCTTTACCTGGATTTTTAATCCCGTAAGACAAGAAATGTGAATATCAGAATGACTTGGAAGATTTGATCCAGTCACATAATCTGGTCCAATAATTCCTTTCAGTGACTCTTCTTTTAGTCTCTTTAATAAAGTTGCATAAACCATTCTTTGTGAATCAGAAGGGGGTGTATACGGAGAGTCTTCTAATGATCTATATTTTCAACAGATGCCAACATTTCATTTTGCTGAATCACAGAATTTTTGATGTTTAGATTAGAAATTATCCCTGATGATTATTTAGTTCCCCTTTATTGACGGAGGCAAATCACCTTTAGACTTAATTTATAGTAAAACAAAGGACTAAATGGCAGAAAAGTATGGCACTGTAAATTATTACTGCATATATGCCAAACAAATCAAGATTCTGCTAAATTCTGCCAAAATTAATGAGACAACACATACTTCCAACAAGTTTGTCTATAATGTCAAATACCTTCTGCCTTCCAATTTTTATATCATATTTACTCACCTGCTGGTGGACTGTGTGCAAGCTCTCCATGCATCCAGTTCCTCAGAAAGATATTCAATTTTTAAAGGTACTGACACCTCCCGACGTTTTAATAGCTGACTGAATGTGTGAAAAGGAAATTAACATCTGATACCAAAAACTAAGATATCAGAAAAAGCAAACAAACTTTAAATGTGATTTTAGATTTACGTTTCTGTATACAGACATTATACCTTATATATAATGTACATATAGAATATTTTTTAGTATATGTGTATATATGCTCATCTGTATATTTAATATATTTAGCAGAGTCCCTGGCAAGTCGAAGTTATTCAGTAAACATTGGGTGGATGAGTAACTGAGTGAGCGGATGAATAAATGAACTGCATAATGTATGGAGAATGGTTGGACAAGTCAAGTGATGTTAAATAGTAGCCACCGTGAGAGAGAACACTTAACCGTGACCCTGATGATTTAATCTTGAATGACACAAAGAGAACACAGGAGAAGGAGATTTGAGAAGAAAGATGATTTGAATTCTGAGCATACTGACTTTTAGGCTGGAGTTTAGCAAGCTGCTGAATATACACATAGGAGTTTGAAGAGTAGGCTATACCTGAGTATAAGACACTGAGTTACCTCCTCAGAGGTGATAGGTGAAGCTAAAAAGTGGTGAGGTTTCTAAAGGACACCATATAGCAAGGAGAGGGGAGGGAGCGGAGCTGTGGGAGGAGAGTGGGATGGAGAGGAGGAAAAAGGGAAGCAGAGGAGGAGAGAATGAAGCTTTGGGGGCTCACATATTTAGTGGGTCAGGAAAATAATGATAAGCAGCAAGACAACAAAGATGAAATTGTCAGAGACGATAAATTCTTTAATATTAGGAAATTATTTCTCTTTTTAAGCTAACACATTCCCTAAACTTAGTCACATTCTCTCAAGTCTCTCCTGCCCCTGCAGATAAAAACCATTCTTTTTCTTCTTGCTTAATTAAGAATTTTTCTCTTTACTTTTATAATTATATATAGCTGAACATACTTCATTAAACATTATTTTACATCTATGTGATATATCCTACTGCTCCCATAATATCTTTCAATGTTGTTAAATGTTGCTTTCCAATTTTGGTTATGCTACCTATATAGAAAGAGATTTTTCCATGAGCATGCTGACAATATTAATTCCGTATTATTCCTTATTTGCACTAGGTGACAGCTAGTGCTTCACCTACACAGTAGGGAAAATAAGTTAGGAAGGAGAAAACCTGTTTCTCTCAGAATCTTCGGCCACATATGAACTTAGAAAAACTGTTTAACCACAGACCCTCTGCATTTGTTAAAATGGTCACCTACTAAGCCATTTAGCTAACTACTAGACTTGGAAGTAGGTTTTCATGGAAGGCACTGTGAATTTTATTTTATAGTATAAGAAGTTTTAAGTACAAGGGCTGAAGTTAAACAAGTTGTTAGAAAATGTAGGAGTAAGGCTAACAGGTTATGCCTGAATATAAAATATTAAAATAGTAAGTAACCTGCTACTTACAAACTCCTTTTACTTTGCCTTTTCTGCTGTAGAGATTGAAAAGCTACAATATTCAGTCTCCTATTTTCTTTTAGTGAGATGTGGGCATAAAACCCTAAGGAGGACCTTCTTCCCTGAATAAAATGGTCTTGCCAGGAGAAAGTCCTTTGCGGTCTCTATCTTTCACTCTTACCTCTTTCCTGCTTCGAATGTAGTCGTAACTCATGGAGGGCTAGTATCTATCTTGTAACCATGGGATACTCAAGCAAGAGGAAATAATCCAAAAATATCACAGTGGAAAGAAGGGGAGTATCAGGTCCTTGAAGAAATCACTGCAAGGCAGTGAAAGCCCTAGAATGCCTGTCTTAAGTGTCTTGACGTGAGAGATCAATAAACCCTAGGAGTTTAAGCTAGTATTAGAATTTTTATTATTTATAGCCTAACACATTTCTAATTTATGTGCTGCTTTATTATAAAGCACATGCGGAGTAAATAGATGGATACTTGTAATAATATATTTGATACTTTCTATAATCCACTTAGAGATTATCCATCTTAGTGAAAGAAATTGCTCTAATGTCACGATGGAAGAAAAAACCTTTTTTACCTTGTGTACTCATAAAGTGCTGGAACAATGCTTTGGTACTGTCTTCTGATAGCCAATAATGCACCAGTGTAACCACATAATATTAGCAACTCATTTCGAGCTCTAAAAGAGAATATACTTATTTTTATAAACTCCACAATTTGAGGCATAGAACATTACTCTGACACACAGTTCATGTACTTGTATCTCTATATTCTGAAAGGTGACATTTATAGCAATATGTGTTTAGAAAATTTTCTAAACTTAAGGAAAATTATCCATCAGTTCCTAATTCCTATTCAGATATTTATACTGTGTCATCAATTATAATATAAAATAAGAGTCTTTAAATAATATTTCACTCTTGCCTGCTTGTTTTTCTCTATTTCCTGGCTGTTTCTTCATGTAATTTATCCCTAAATAACTCCTTTGGTCAGGTGGAGGGAGTCCCGGAACACCGTGTCGACTCTAGGAAAGGGTAAAGAATGGCTTCTGCAGTTCTTACACAGGGAGTTAACCAGTTTCCCAGGCTTCTGCATCATTTTTTCCATACAGGCTTTAAAGCAAGTAGAGCCCGAAGTTTCTCTTGTAAATTATACAAGAGTCTCTGACGGCTTTAGTTATATAGATAACAATGTCTTTTAATAGGACTCGAATCCAGGGATGATGTCTATTTTGCACTTTCTAGCCTTTTACTTCTTTCCCACAAGCTTAGTATGATGCTTTGCATACAATGGATATTTAATAAATATGACCATGAGTTTCTTATGGACTTGAGGTCCAAAAGCTTTGAACTTGCTTTCTTTAAACCAGGTATGTGTGTGTACATATAAAAACATATGCATACCAGATATTAAGTGGACCACTAAAATTTAATATTCTATTTCAAGTTGACCGCTACCTTTTTTTCTTAAAAATATAACAAACACAAATACAATCTTTCTACAAGTGTAGCTACCTGTCCAAGATAATCCTATTTCCTGATCTGAATATCAAAAACAATGGAGCCACTTTAAAATTATCACATAGATTCACTTATATATTTTGCAGAAAAAAATACTCACTCAGTACATGTATGCAAGAGCAATTTTTCAGTACGAATATAGCTCAATAGGTCAAGAACAGGGTATATGGCATCCAAAGTCCAGTCCGAACTACTGATGTATTCTGGAAAAATAAAACCAGATGAGAGATTCATTAAATAACAGTCTCAAAATTTATTCATCCATTTTTTAACTTATATGATGAATTTTCTGTGAGTCAGTACTACCTACCTCTTTGTTTTCTAGATCACAAGTATTTTCCTATTCATCCTCTCTCAGGTCCCCATACCATAAAATTGGAAGAGATGCCATATTTCACATCAGCATCACTCTCCTTTTTAAATTGAGGATGACTAGTTCTTGGTTTTAAGGCTGATCACTGATATAGTTAGGATGCTGGTCCTCTCTAGAGCTCATGTTGAAATGTAATCCCCAATGCTGGAGTGGGGAGGTGTTTGGATTAAGGAGGTGGATTCCTCATGAATGGCTTAGTGCAATCCCCTTGGTGATGAGTGAATTCTTGTTCTGAGTCCACAAGAGATCTGATTGTTTAAGAGTGTGGCACCTCCCTTCCTCTCTCTCTTCATCCCTTCTCTCTACCCCTGCTCTCACTAAGTGATATGCCTGCTCCTGTATCACCTTCTGCCACGATGAAAAGCTTCCTGAGGCCTCACAGAAGCTGAGCAGATACCAGTGCCATGCTTCCGGTACAGCCTGCAGAACTATGAGCCAGTAAATCTACTTCCTTTATAAATTACCCAGCCTCAGGTATTTCTTTATAGCAATGCAAAAATGAATTAAAACGATCATCAATATGAAAACAAAGATCAAATAAATGACTATATTTTAAATTATACTACCAACTAATTACTTACCTTTAACAAAGCTAATACCAATAGGAAGGGCTTTTTCAGGTTCTTGACTTAACAAGTAATATTTTACAGTTTCAAATATATTGTCATCTGCATGGGCTGTCTCAGCTAACTGCATACATTCTTCCATTGTGGGTAGCTTACACTAGAAAATAATTGATTTGAAAACAATGTTACTAAAATTCACAGGGATAAAGGCAATAGTGTAGGTACAAAATACTTTCAACTTGCCTAGTATGGTTTTCTTATTAAAGTTGTCTAAAATAGATGTAAATGAAATCATTTGAATTAAGAGAATATATTTATGGAAATACCTTTAAGATCTAAAAACAGTAAGCGGGGATATTAACTAATGAGTTAGTAGTTTTCCATCACACAAATACCTAAAAAAGAAATAGGAGTAAACTGTTCTGATTGTGATACTGAAATTAATACTTACAAATGCAATTTAGCACCCAAATGATGAAATTAATTATGTTAGAAAAAATATATTGACCATTGTCAAAAACTACATTAAATGCACCAAACATAAAGGGTGTGCATTATTACATAACCTCTACACTGTAATTTAACGTCACTTGGCTTTTGAAACAAAGCAACCTTATTTCAGAGACACAAAAAAATGTAGAAGCTCTAAAAGTTTTTAGCTTTGACATTTTGAAATGCCATGAAATGGATATTTTTTCATCCATGAAATTTCATTACTATAAAATAAAAAGCCACATTCCCCATTTAAAAAAATTCTTTTTCTGTTAAAACTGAGAGTCTGATCCTTTCTCAAGTAAGTTGGTCTGCTTCCTTATAATGTAGGTAAGCATTAAGTTACCTTTCATATCCAATTCTGATGTGTTTATAATAGATGAAGCTTAAATGTTCAAGTTTACATCTAAACAATGTGGATAGTTTCATGGTTTGTTTCAATTTATTTATTAATACATTCATTCAATCATTTCATATTTCTTGTTTAAAAATTAGGTAAAATGAACATTTTACATCTCAATCTCTCAAAAAAATTACAACAAACTGAATTAACGGGGCTCTCATATATTTAACATTTCATATCACTTCCCCATCCTTATTCATGAAATGCCAGTTATTTACTAAGCAACTACTATATGGTAAGTACTGTGCTTGGCTAGAGACATAGGTTCTTCACCTTGATATATGCTCACGGCATAGAGGAAATAAAAAGTCACTCCCATTTAAATTTCATTTTTAACTAGCCTATAAGAAGAAGAGTAAGATGATCACCTTATAATTTTTATCCTATATATTTTACAATTCTAAAAGTTATATAAGTAAACATCATATGTGAATATATAGTTTTCAGTGTTACAGACAGTCTTCAACTTATGTTTTGACTTTATGGTAGTGCAAAAGCGACATGCATTCAGTAGAAACTGTAACTTTGAGTACCCACACAACCATTCTGTTTTTCACTTTTTGTACAGTATTCATTAAATTACATGAGATATTATTATGAAATAGGCTTTGTGCTAGATGACTTTGTCCAACTGTAGCCTAATGTAAGTGTTCTGAGCACGTTTAAGGAAGGCTAGGTTAAGCTATGATGTTTGGTAAGTTAGGTTGTAAATGCATTTTTGAGTTAGAATATTTTTGACTTATGATGGGTTTACTCACTGTAACCCCATGGTAAGTCGAGGAGCATCTGTACTTGTGAAATTGTTCAGAGTTATTAACACCTTCACACACACTCACTAGTCTTTCTAAAAAGATATTAATGAAGTATGACCAGAAAGTCTAATTATATCCTTTTAGAATGTGTGATGAAAAGACAAGGTGAATAATATTCTAGCCCCTATCGTTAAAAGCTGTCACACCTAACTGCATATATTCTTCTACTGTGTGTAGCTTGTATTAGAAAATAATTGATTTGGCAGGGCGCGGTGATTCATGCCTGTAATCCCAACACTTTGGGAGGCTGAGGTGGGTGGATCACCTGAGGTCAGGAGTTCGAGACCAGCCTGACCAACATCGTGAAACCCCATCTCTACTGAAAATACAAAATTAGCTGGGTGTGATGGTGCACACCTGTAATCCCAGTTACTCAGGAGGCTGGGGCAGGATAATCGCTTGAACACAGGAGGTGGAGGCTGCGGTGATCCAAGCTCCTGCTATTGCACTCCAGCCTGGGCAACAAGAGCGAAATTCCGTCTCAAAATAAATAAATAAATAAATAAATAAATAAATAAATAAATAAATAAATAGAAAATAATTGATTTGACAACAATGTTAGTAAAATTTATAGGAATAAAAACATAGTACACATACTAAATTTTTCCAGTATTACTAGTGTGGTTTTCTTATTAAAGTTGTCCTAAATGATATAAATGAAAGTATTTGAATTAAGAGCATATATTTATGAAAATATCTTTAAAATCTGAAAATAATAACTGAGGTCATTAGCTTAAGTCTTAAAGCTTAGACAAGTCATTTAGCCTCTCTGAGCCTTGATATTAACATCTGTACCTTCTGCCTCAGAGGATATCTGTTAGTGTACATTCAAACACTACCACTTAATGTATAATTAAAAAACTCCCACTTTCTTTCATATGCATTTTAATTTCAAAATAAATTAGTTTTTAGTTGTCATGCTAAAAAAACAAAGCCCAGCTTTTTAAAAAACATAATTCACAGACTACAAAGTGTACAAAGTAGTTAAAATATCCCATCATCTCACCACCCACTGGTAACTTTGGACATTTCTCCTTTAACAAGTATTTTCCCTGTCTCAACACAAACACATTCACATACACATATCCGCCCACACATTCTCATTCACACACTTTTGGCCAATCTGTATTAATACAATACTCAGAATATATCTGCTTAATGAATAGGGCTACTCACCCACTAGGGATAAAAAAATCACGGTTCAAATAATTGAAACAAAACTTTGTTGTTTTAGAGGTTCAAGATGAGAAAATATTGTACTTATATCTTATCATTTTCTTACAAGAAACTGTAGGTATCTTTTTAAATATGCTATCAACATAAATAAATATGTACATTCACAGTTATTTTCAAACCAAAATCATAAGGCATATGCATAGTTTTATGATCTGCTTTCTATTTAACTGTTTCATAGCCATGTATCATGTCAATAAAAATAGAGCTTCATGATTTTTAATGGATTAATCGCACTGAAATATAGAAAAGTACTGTAAATTAATATAAATAATCTTCCTATTGAACATTTTGGTTGTTTTTATATATAATATTGATGCACAGATTCCTATGTTCTGCAGATGAGTATTTTTAAGGCACTTTAGAAAAACGCATGTAAATTTCATTATATTTCATTAATTCTTTTAAGGATTCTAAGTTGTCTATTTTCAAAAGTTATCCTACAACATACTTCAAGATGCAAAGTGTACAGTGGAAAACACTTGGGATTTGGAGTTAGACTTGCTGAAGTTGAAATTCTCACTCCACCACTAACTAATTTGGGTAAATTCCTTACCCTCTCCAAGTTTTCTTTGTATAATTATCCCCTGCTTTTCAAAGCTTTATGAGAATGAAGACACAAATATATGTAAAGATTTAGAATGCCAAGCACATAGCAGAAGTTCAGGAAATGTTATTTCTTATTGTTGCCATTTTTGTTGTACATATATGTATCCCAAAGGGACCATATATTTGTTTCTCTGCATGCATCTCTATTTGCTTGAACCTACAATTAATTAAATCATAGCACTGCATTCCAAACCAGAATATTTAACATCATCAGCATACCTTATCATGAAGGTCATTTATCTCTTCAGTACATCCTGGGTAGAAAGCACAGAGTTTTATTAAATGTAGTTCATTATCAGGAATCATCAGGAGAAGATCGGCTGCCAAATTCCTGTTAACGTAACAAAAGGGGATACTTCATTGAGGAAAAGATTTAAAAATAACATAACTATCTCAAAGAAAGGAAATTCAAATAATATACCGCTCTTGCTTTTCAATTTATGCAAACATTATTAATTACCTAGTTAATTATGAAACTACTCTAAATGCAGATTACCCAAACCAAAGGTCATGAACAGCAAACATATTTATAAATTCCTAAATATTAAAAACTAAACTTTACATACATGAGTCTTAACACACTTAGAATTAATTTTATTATTACAGAATAATTCTCTAATCAGTTAAGTAGTTTTGACTATGTTCTTTGGAGTGAATTATAAAGCAAAAATTGTGAAAGTTAACTCTCGTCAACTTTTATCATGCTTGTCAATATTGACAAATTGTATTAGCCAGCTCAGTGAAACCTGAGTTATTTTAAGTTCATAATTTTGGGTATCCCACATATTTCTTAAATCATAAGTGGAAATTAAAGATGGAAATGTAGTTTTCTTATTTACTTTTTTTTTTTTTTTTTCTTTTGAGGCATAGTCTCATTTCCCCTGTCTCCCAGGCTGGAGTGCAGTGGCACAATCTCAGCTCACTGCAACCTTTGCCTCCTGGGTTCCAGCAATTCTTGTGCCTCAGCCTCCCGAGTAGCTGGGATTACAGCCATGCGCCACCATGCCCGGGCAATTTTTGTATTTTTAGTAGAGATGGGGTTTCAACATGTTGACCAGGCTGATCTCAGACTCCTGGCTTCAAATGATCCACCCACCTTGGCCTCCCAAAGTGCTGGGATTACAGGCATGAGTCGCCGAGACCAGCCTGTTTACTTTTTAAAGATTCAGTCAGTGAAGTAAAGCAATAGAGAGTTTTAAAAATATAAAATGGTATGTACTTAAAAGATTTATATCAAAATATTTTCTGTAAAATCCTCTTCAGATCACTAGGTGAGGAGTTAATGAATGCATGCATCATAACTGAGAAAACACCTAACTTTCAATAATTCAAGATACTGTTTTTAAGAAATTGATATATAGTCACACAGAATAGGTGACCTTAGATTAGGTGATATTTCACATAAGAATTTACAAAGCTGTGTGCTGAGGCCTCTGAGAGTAAAACCCCACTTAATCTTCTTTGTGAAGACATCAGTAAAATCTACATTAGTCATTTAAGTAAATCGATTCCTTTTTAAAACTTAAGAGGTGCTTAATTAAGAATATAATGAATATAGAATAGGAAGCGAGATAATTGGCAAGTTCTGGTATGAAATCCAAAATTTTACTAAAAATAAAAAATACACACATACCACAAACTGTCAGGATAGTAATATTTTAAATTAGGCTTACTTTAATGTTTTTAGAATAAGAAAAACTTTAGTGAAGTTTTTTACATAAAATATTTTGGTAACTCATCATTTTACTAATAAATAATTTTCTAGATAATATCAAAAGAGAATTGCTAAAAGATCACAATAATTTTTCATATTATTTTCCCCTAGCCATTTAAAAATTACACATAGTATCTTTCCACACTGCCACATTTTCTATTACATTGGGCAGGTTCCATGTTAGAGTAGTTTAGCTGTTCTTGCTAAAATGTATGAATGATGTCATGTGTTTCTTCCCATCAAAATTTAATAGCAGTTTTAAATAATGTCCATGAAAATATAGAAATTATTTGTTTTTACTGTGTATAAAATAGCTGTGCTAAAATTCTATTCAAACTTCAATGAACTACAAAATTTGACTTTCTTAATGTAGAATTATATCTCCATATGGTGAAATTTTATCAAGGCCAGCTAATTTCCCTCAATGTTTAATCAAATTCACCCTTTTTTGAGAATTCAGTACACAAATGGGGAAAAATGTACATATAAAAATGATTTAGACCAATTGAATGATCTAAAATATAAGATTTCACTATCAGAACAGGTATTTCATTCTGCTTAGCTGAGTTAGCTATTATTTGGTATTGCAGGAAGTCACATTTCATTTATTGTACAACTTTTAAGTATAAAATCATGAGTGATTATAGGAACTTTTCTCAGTACTTTGTAGTCAGGTTTTATGTGCTGTAAATTATACATGTGAATTGGCATACTATAAAACAATGTGAAAATAGTTGATAAATATTTCTTAATACAGAGATACCATTCAAATAATACAATAAAGGAGTGTATACATTTTAAATGAACACGTTCTTAAATAAAAGTAGATAATACCTGTATCCAACAGATGGAAAGCTAAAAGAAAATATTAAATATGAATACCATGATTATACGATGAGTATCAGGAAGAAACAGACTCTTACAGTAAATGTAAAACACATGAGGTGTTTATAGCTTAAAAATTATGGCATCTTTATAAATGATGTAGCTATGTTTTTAAAAATCTGTGCAGCTCTACTATTAGCCAGGAGGATCAGATTTCTCCTGAAAACAAAGCTAATCAGCACCACATTTAAACTGTTTCCTAGTTTCTGTTACATCTATCTATGGATATATTAAAAAGAATTGTTGGCGTGGGGGTGTTACAAGGAATAAGTTTGTTTTTTCTTAAAAGTAACTAAGACATATAGTTAATTGAAAAATGTTTAGTCATGGTATGTAACATACAATGTTACGAGTTTGAACTGCTCAGTATGAAGACGATGTAGATGAAGACCTTTACGATGACCCACTTCCAATTAATGCATAGGAAATTGATTTCTCTTCCTTATGTTTTTTTTTTTTTTTTTTTTGAGACAGAGTCTCGCTCTGTTGCCCAGGCTGGAGTGCAGTGGCCAGATCTTAGGTCACTGCAAGTTCCGGCTCCCGGGTTTACGCCATTCTCCTGCCTCAGCCTCCCAAGTAGCTGGGACTACAGGCGCCCGCCACCTCGCCCGGCTAGTTTTTTGTATTTTTTAGTAGAGACGGGGTTTCACAGGGTTAGCCAGGATGGTCTCTATCTCCTGACCTCGTGATTCGCCCGTCCCAAAGTGCTGGGATTACAGGCTTGAGCCACCGCGCCCGGCCCCTTATGATTTTCTTAACAACATTTTCTATTCTCCAGTTTATTGTAAGAATACAGTATATAATACACAAAGGATACAAAATATGTGTTAATTGTTAATGTTATCAGTAAGGCTTCCAGTCAACAGCAGGCTATTAGTAGTTAAGTTTTGAGGGAGTTGGAAGTTATAGATGGATTTTGGAATGCTTGGGGGGTTGGCACCCCTAACTCTCATATTGTTCAAGGGTCAACTGTACACGTATTTCTCTTTTGCTGCCAATTTTTTTTTTCTTTTTTTTTCTTGAGACGAAGTTTCGTTCTTGTTGCCCAGGCTGGAGTACAGTGGTGTGATCCTGGCTGACTGCACCCTCCATCGCCTGAGTTCAAGTGATTCTTCTGCCTCAGCCTCCCAAGTAGATGGTATTACAGGTGCCTGCCACCATGCCTGGCTATTTTTTTTTTTTTTGTATTTTTTTGTATTTTTAGTAGAGATGGGGTTTCACCATGTTGGCTAGGCTGGTCTCGAACTCTTGACCTCAGGTGATCCACCCATCTTGGCCTCCCAAAGTGCTGGGATTACAGGTGTGAGCCACTGGGCTCGGCCCTTTTACTGCTTTTTACCTTCACTTTTTAAAAGCAAATCCCCTTTCATCTGATGATGACTTTTAGCATGAAATCAGCTATCTTTGTGAATCAATAATTTGAATTAAGGCTTCATGCTTTGAGATGAGGGCAAGTCCCTATGTAATTGACTATTACAGCTCTTGATAGAGGGATAACTAGATACTCTCAGAGGAGACTCACCATTATGTATACTGAAGTCTAAAACTGATGGTAGGGTACTACTACATTTTAATGGGGGAAGGGAGCTCTTACATTACTGTAAGATATATGTAAAAATCAAAACAACTTTGAAATTCCTGATTCACTCTAAAACCTTCAGATTCAGACAAAAAAGAAGAATGTAAATGTTGTTCTTTTTCCTGAGTTGGCTGCAGATAAGAAAGTGGTACAGGTTGGATATCCCTCATCTGAAACGCTTGGGACCAAAGGTGTTTCAGATTTCAGACTTTTTTGGATTTTAGAATATTTGCATATACATAATAAGATATCTAAAGGGTAGGACCCAAGTCTAAATACAAAATGTATTTATGTTTCATATACACCTTATACAAACAGCCTGAAGGTAATTTTATACAGTATTTTTAACAATTTGTGCATTAAACAAATTTTTGTGTTAAGTACTTACATGTGGAATTTTCCACTTGTGGTTGTCATGTCAACACCTGAAAGGTTTCGGATTTTGGAGGATTTTGGAGTTTGGATTTTTGGATTAGGGATGCTCACCCTGGGTAGTCTGATAGCTAATAATGCAAACTTCAGAGCTGATCTGTGTAGCTTTGAATCTTGGCTCTATCACTTACTGCGACCTCAGGAAAATCAAAACCTACCACATAGAACCTAGTGAATTTTTACATATAAAGTACTTAAAATTGTGCTTGGCACAGAGTAAGCAGTATAGAAGTGTTAGTTAGCATTCATTATTATCATTACCACCTGCAATGTTCAGTAGTTACAGTCATCTGTATAGCTCCACCTCAAGGGTGCTGTGTGTGTGCATGGGATTTGTAATGGGGAAAAGGTCACAGTCCTGATAAATTCATTTAGAAACTTCTTGAGGTCCTAAGTATTTGAGGGAAAGAAAAGATGAAAATCTGAAATAATCTTTATTCCATAAACATCTACAGAATGACAGAATCACATATTTCCTAATAGAGCCTCTGTAACAATGGATTGTTTGACCTAAGGCCAGGGCTCCGCAGATACGAGCTGGAATTGCTCTGCCCTGGATTTCCGGGCTACGCCAGGTAATTCCCAGGGTCTCTTTCTTTGGGTATTGCCAGAGTCTAGGGGAGGTGTCCTTTTTCAAGTGTCCAGCAAAACCATTTTTCTTGCTGCTTTATATTAGAAAAGTGACTTTACTGTCCAACTTTAAAATAGGACACAAGATCTGACAAGAAAAAGTATAGATATGTAGAATTTTAAGATGTGGGAATATGTGTTCTGATCATCTTAAGAAGAGCACTTTTGTTGTCTCATGATACTTTAAGTGCTTGAAACATTATGGAATTACAACTGGGCTACTTGAGAACGGATCATGGCAGATTTCATTATACAACCATGGTAGTTCTCATCATTATGACATTGTTATATCATTGTTTCCTTCCATAATCTTATCCTTTATAAACAAGGTGATCCTATATCCTCCCAATGCATATCTTATCAAATGGAATTTATAATGTTTTAAAAATGTATTACATCACTATGAAATTATTCTTTGAATTTCAAAATTCTTACCATATTGAAATCATCATGCACTTTCTCGCCAGTAATTCTAGGGCATAGTGGGTTGCCGGTGCTGCAGACTCTCCGAGTACTGTGCCCACACAGACTGCCAGCTCCAGTTCATTTCCGCGGATCAGGTATGCCATAGCAAGCTTGCTCAATAAGAAAATAATTTCTTCAGTTGCATAGATGCTGGGTAGGTTCATCACTCCCCTCCAAGCTCATAAAGCAGATAAAGCAGTATTAACCTATAAATCAATTGTTCTTAGAAAATATTGACTGTAATAGCCCTATAAAGTAGTTCTGTAAGAGTAATTGCAATTTTCAGATGGAAAGGTTATTAATGAGACATACAGAAAATGGTATTAGGTCAGAATTAAGGAGTTTAGAACCCTTAGTTCTATTTTTGTACTTAATTAATAACATTCTATGATATTCTCAATATGTCCTTCAATCTCCACATCAGAAAAAAATGTAAATTTTTTTTTCTTTTTTATTATACTTCAAGTTCTAGGGTACATGTGCACAACGTGCAGGTTTGTCACATATGTATACTTGTGCCATGTTGGTGTGCTGCACTCATCAACTCGTCAGCACCCATCAACTCGTCATTTAAATCAGGTATAACTCTCAATGCCATCCCTCCCCCCTCCCCCCTCCCCATAATAGGTCCCAGTGTGTGATGTTCCCCTTCCAGAGTCCAAGTGATCTCATTGTTCAATTCCCACCTATGAGTGAGAACATGTGGTGTTTGGTTTTCTGTTCTTGCCATAGTTTGCTGAGAATGATGGTTTCCAGCTGCATCCATGTTCCTACAAAGGACAAAAACTCATCCTTTTTTATGGCTGCATAGTATTCCATGGTGTATATGTGCCATATTTTCTTGATCCAGTCTGTCACTGATGGACATCTGGGTTGATTCCAAGTCTTTGCTATTGTGAATAGTGCTGCAATAAACATACGTGTGCATGTGTCTTTATAGCAGCATGATTTATAATCCTTTGGGTATATACCCAGTAATGGGATGGCTGGGTCATATGGTATTTCTAGTTCTAGATCCTTGAGGAATCACCATACTGTTTTCCACAATGGTTGAACCAGTTTACAATCCCACCAACAGTGTAAAAGTGTTCCTATTTCTCCACATCCTCTCCAGCACCTGTTGTTTCCTGACTTTTTAATGATTGCCAGTCTAACTGGTGTGAGATGGTATCTCATTGTGGTTTTGATTTGCATTTCTCTGATGGCCAGTGATGACGAGCAAAAAATGTAAATTTGTAAGAGCTTCTTCAAGATTTTACAGTTATCTATCACTTCCTAAAGTCAATATATCTAAGGATAAATGCACAATAGAATCTATATCTTTAATTAACATTTGCTTATTAAATTAGAGTCAAATGGAAGGTACTTTAAAACTATAACTTGTGAATAATACACTGGAAAATAAGTGCTTTCATTTGGATTTTTTCTTATAATCCTAACGACTACATGTGAAATAGGTAAGGTAGGTATTCATATGTTCATTTCAGAATTGAAGACATTTGAGATTCTGAGAGTTAAATGATGTGCCCAAAGTCAGTATGTGACAGGAAAGACTCAGATATTTTGGGTCTACGTCCAGTGATTCTTCCCTTTACTATACTGGCACTTCTTATATATGTTGAAATGTTTAAAACAAGGTTGTTACAAATAGGTATCTTGTGGTAGAAATAAAAGAAAACAAAAGTTCATAGTCTATGTGTACTTAAAACAAGAGCTCATAGTTTATGTGTGCTAATTAGGAATGTAATTACTTAATTAGAAGGCATGCAAAACCAGATCTCACACAGAAAGTCACCATATCTTTTCCTCTCAAACACCATGATATATCTAAAAAACTTTTCATTCACATAAATCAGTTTTAAATGTCATACCTCAATATTATCTACGGCAAGATGGCAACATGCGGCTAGTACTGCTCGACCATCTTGAAAATACCATTCTGCCAGTTCTTTACTGACTTTGTGCAGGAGCCTAGAAAGAAAAAGTGTATGTATTCTGTATAAACACAAGTATTCCATTATAAAAGCAAACCAATACTTTTTAAAAGGTATGATAAAAAGACCAAATACAATTTAATTTGACATGCTTGCTTTAAAGACTTGTTTTTAGAAAAAAATAAATCAGGAAAGTGGTCTTTACAAGTATATGGTCTGACAAGCCTCTCCCTCCCTCTATCTTCACAAATGTCAGAAGAGAAGCCTGATTTTAAAAGCTTACCATCCTGCATTGGACAATTTATGACTCAGCCATACGGAAAGTTAAGTGTAGAAGAATTACAGGTTGAACCGAAATTTTTCAAAATTTAGGTGGTATCCAAAATACAGCTAGCATGTGTTAGCTTTCTCAAATGTCAAGTTTAGAAATGGCAGAGAATGGCAGTAAAGACACAGGCAAGAATACATTATTCTCAACACACTATTTGCTTAACATTTCATGACCCTCTTCTACTCGATGAGTGTCTTAAAAGTTTAAATATCCTATTTTCTGGGGTAATAGTAGGAGCAAATAGAAAGGATGGGGGAAGGCAGACTATTGGATTAAAAAAAGGTTAGAGGGCTGAAAAATTCTAATTTTCATTTCTTTTTTAAAATAACTATCAGGATTTCTTCTCTGAAAGATGACCAAATGTTATTCTAGACACCAATATTGGGGTCATGGGATTATAAACTACATTCCTGTGAACTTATATACACTAACTTTAGAATAAAACATGAATAAGCAGTCTACTTGATTTTCATCATTGGTCCTCTCCAATAGGTTTGATTAGTTTGTAAGTGTTTAGGTGCCTTACTTGCCATCTCTCTAGTAAAATGCATTTTGCTTTTCTGAAAGCTATATAAAATGTGTATAAACAGAGTCTCCATGCCTGAAATTTCCCTATTCATCTAGGAGTAGATGCTGTAACGGAACTGGATCATGGTGAGAAAGGTTGAGGCAGTCAAATCCTCAGTATACAAAGAAGGATGAATTATAGAGGCTTTAAAAATTCCTAAAGGGAAGACAACCATAAAACATATGGACCCAGAGCAAATAAATCACTCACTCATTAAAGTCTTCCTTGTAGATATCATCAGAATATGAAGCTCCTTTAGGCACAGAAACATGTAAGGGTTGCATATTTCCTTCACAAGCAGCCTAGGATTTAATTAAAGATTGAATTATTCTTTAGCTAATTGTTGATAATTGACACATTTCAGAATATTATTCTGAGCAAAGTATACTTAATGTTTGAAATTTATACTATAATTTGGAGATAATCTTAGAATTTGAGGAGAAATGAGATGTTAATTGTGTATAGCAAAAAAAGCTTCAAGTGAATTATTACTAAAAATAAGTTGTTCAAATGCATGGTATATAACATTCAGCAGCATGTGAAAAGTTTAGAGTTCAGAGATGCTTATATGTTTAAAGATCTAAAATAAGTTCAGCTGTGTGTGGTGGCTCATGCCTGTAATCCCAGCACTTTGGATGGCTGAGGCGGGAGGATCACCTGAGGTCAGGAGTTTGAGACCAGCCTGGCCAACATGGTGAAACTCCATCTCCACTAAAAATACAAACGTTAGCTGGGCATGGTGATGGGTGCCTGTAATCCCAGCTAGGGTTGAGGCAGGAGAAATCGCTTAAACCTGGGAGGTGGAGGTTGTGGTGAGCTGAGATCATGCCATTGCACTCTAGCCTGGGTGACAGAGCGAGACTCCATCTCAAAAAAATAGATAAATAATAAAATAAAATAAAATAAAAATAAAAATAAAATAAAATAAAATAAAATAAGTTCACTGTGTTCAGAACAAAAATAGTATGCTCTCAAATGATGAAAGAAGGCCAGGAAGGAGGGCAGAAACCAAACCCTTTATGACTTTGTCAATTAGGTAAGGGTGAGCTAGTCAACACAATCTTCTCCCTTCTACATGCTCACACATGTGTGTGACTTGTGTAATCACATGGTTTTACCTGTGCAACAAGCAGAGCTTCTTTAAGCCGACCTCTTGACATGAAAAAATGGACCAGCTTTTTCACATCACCAATGGCTATGCAGTATGGAATGACATCATCCTTATCTTCCTGGATTAATTGGTCAGCTCTCCTAATAAAACAAGGACAATTTTTTAAACAATATATTTTTTGAAGGTGTTTAGGTGAATTGAGATTTTCTGAAAGTATGGCTAAAATTTGTAGCAGATTTCATAAAGCCCTTTGGCATATCACTTTTAAAAAAGACATTTTATAATCAAATTACATGTGGAAGACAGATAAAAGTTGCATGAAATAATAAATACTATAAGAACTTGTTTGCCCTTAGAACATGACATAAAATCATAAATACTACAGGAACTTGTTTGCCCTTAGAACAGGACATAAAATATGCCTGAACATTTTAGATCTTAAAATCAATGTAGTTTATCTATTAAAATGGACAATTAGTCTATTCAAAAATATGTTTTATACAAGATATGTGTGATAGGATATCAGGTGGATTAAGCAAATATTTGGGTATCTACACTGTTAAAGACAGATAATTTTAATTGTTTTAGGAAGCCTTAACAATGAATAGAGAACCTTGAAGCTCAAGTAGCTTAAAAATCACTAAGAAGGAGAATATAGAAACATAAATATTAACAATAACATGTAGAATGTTTTAAGTGCCCTAAGTGAGGAAGATTACAGAAAAATAATAATCCAGACATGTGAAGGGAGAAAGGGAACGGTAATCTTAGAGACTGTGAAGGGTGCACATGTGTCTGTTTCCATATCTGCCTCTGTCTCTCTGCACCCATCTCTCTCAATCTCTCCCTCTCTCTGTGTATGTGTGTATATATCTTCTCAACTAAGTCTCAAGTATTTTCTCAATGACTAACCCCCTAGTTAATTCTACCCTCAATGTTTAACCTCAGTTTTGTTTAAAAATAACCTGGTCTATTTAATTTATGCTACCATTTGCATTAAACCAGAATTCAATTTTTAATCTTTGGGTAGGGGTAGCAGATATTTTTCATGCTGAAAATGGAAAATATTTTTCATGATATTTGCCAGCTCACTGTTAACAGTCTCCAATTTCATAGGGTCATCGAAGTATTCCTCAACAGCTATGTTTTTACTACGTGACTTTGATTTTCTTGTTATAGCTGTTTAGAAACAAGCTGGTTACAAATAATGATCTACTTCCCTGGGCATTTGAAACTATGCTTGAGAGACTGCCAGTTTGGATGAATGGCTGGATCTAGAAAGTAAATGCAGGAGTTGTGGAGAGACTACTTTCTGGCAGCTACATGGGCTAAGGGGCAGAGAAAATCAGGAGTTGGCTTTCAAAGATAAATGAAACAGAATTGGAAGAGTTTTATATATTCGCATTTGCCTCCTCCTTTTCCTTCCCCACTAAATCTATTCTAATCTTGCTTCAGTCTCCTTCTTTCTATCAAAACAGCTCTTATTAAGATCAATAATAACCTCCATGTTATCCAGATTTCTTATTTGGGCTACAAAATCAAGACTGCCTATTGAACAATACTACAAAATCACAAGGAACTTCAAGCTCAACATGTCCAAAGAGAACTAATGATTTCTTTGTGCCATTTGATTCAAATCCTCTCCTAATGGTTTTGCTTTTGTTGTTGTTTTAGTTGTTTGTTTTTAAATCTCAGTGATTAGCAACAGCTCCTATCCAGTTTTTCAAACCTAAAACTTAAAAATTTTTTGTGATACCTTCCTCATCTCTATTACCAAATCCAGTTAATTTTAACTCCTAGATATATCAAATTCGTCTACTTCTCTCAGTCCCCGCATCACTACATATGGCATCCACGCTACTGCTGTCTCCTGACTCAGCTACTCTAACTGCCTTCTAACTGGCCTCCTCATATCTGCTATTGACCTTCTCTAATCTGTTCTTGATATTTCAGCTTGTGCAGACATTCTATATGAAGAACTGGTCACATCAGTTTCTACCCTATTTAAAATTAAAACCCTTTAATGTCTTATGTTCCTCTTAGGATAAGGAAAAAAAGCTTACTACATTTACAGTGCCCTAAAACCTCTAGCTTGTGCCTACTCTCCCTTGGCATCACTTCCCCCTGGCTCTTGCACTCTAGCTACAGCAGTATCCTTTCACAGAGTTTCTGTACTCTGCTCCCTAAGCCTAGGATGCTTCCTCTAGCCTCTTCACTTGGTTATCTCCCATGTATTCTTTATAGCTCAGTTCATATGCACCAATCTTGCCCAGGTTTCCTTTGTTCCAATTTATCTGAGGATACACCACATTTTAAATTCATAGATACCTAGCTAGCATAGAAAGCAATGTAGTAGCATATTAATATGACTAGATGCTATTAAAATGTGTCAATAATCACATAGAATACAAACTACGTTTACTTTTATTCTGCAATATTAACACTGAGTGACTCCACCTTGGTCTTAAATGGAATTCCATTAAGTTTTTGCTGAGATTGAAATAATGTTTTGTGAAATAAATATCCTCTGCTAACTTGACTTTAAGGATTTGGTGAGAGCAGTAACATTCACAATTGTGCTGTGATGGTACAGGGACTTAGAGCACTGGGGATTCTTAAAGCTCAGGAGAGGGAGCCTAAAATCTGATGGCTACAATCAGCCTGTTGCTTCACTTACTGTTGGGAGAACAGGTGCTTGGGAACAGTCTACTTTCCCACAGCAAATGTGTTAATCCTTCCGAATTTTATGTTTAGCCTTTGATTGATTTTTACTTGTGTCTGTAAGCAGCAGTTGATTTTTTGCCACTAAACCATGTTCCATAAAAGAAAAATCCAAATTTCTGTTTTTAATGTCAGAAGCAAGGTAACTGCATAATAATATATAGTACTCTGTAAGTTTAGCACAGTGATTGGCATAGAGTAGGCATTAAGTAAGTATTTGTTAAATGAACGAATAGCATAGAAGAGAGTAGAATAAAATAGAACAGAGAATAATCATATGTTGTAGATTTAAACGTGTCCCTCTAAGAATATGTTGAAGTCCTAACCCACAATACTTGTGAATGTAACCCTTTATGGAAACAGGGTCTTAGCCGATGTAATTAGTTAAAGTAATACGGGTCATACTGGATTAGGGTAGGGCCTCAATCCAATATGACTCATGACTTATAAGAAGAGGAAATTTGGGCACAGAGACACACAGGGAATAATGCCATGTGAAGATAAGGGAGAGACTGGAGTGACACGTTGAAAAGCCACAAGATGCCAAGGACTGCAGGCGACCAGACACCAAGAGAGAAGCATGGAACTAATTCTTTCTCAGAGCCTCCAGTAGAAACCAACTTTGCTGACAACTTGATTCAGACTTCTGGCCTCCAGAACTGTGAGAAAATAAATTTCTGTTGTTTTAGGCCACCCATTTTATGGTAATTTTTTTTTTTTTTTTTTTTTTTTTTTGCTTGTTTTTTTTGGGTTTTTTTGTTTTTTTTTTTTTTTTTTTTTTTATGGCAACCTCAGGAAACTAATACACTTGAGAGCAAATCTTGTTGGTTTACTGCATTCTAAAACAAGAATGTTTAGTTAAGTTTCCTCAGTCCTCAGACCCTTCTTTATCATCAGTGCCTTCCTCATATCCATGGGGAAGAAATGGCAGGAATTAGTGCCTACAGAGAAGATTTTTGGGATAATTCATAGAATAGTATTTCACGAACCTATGCTAACCTTCAGGAAATCTTGCCACTTGTATTTCAATACCAACTTATTAATCAGTGAGTATGTTTGCTGATCTGTCCTTCTCTCCATTGACATGGGGAAATTTGCCTTCTGCTATCTTCATCAGAGGCCAAGTCAAATCCAAGAACACCAAAATTATTTGTAACTGATTCATTTCATTTACTGTATCAGTAGATACAAAATTTAGTTATTATTTAAGACAACATAAGAATAAGAAATCTCAAGAGCTACTGCCATATTTATATACTGCTTCTATTTTAACATGGACTCTCTCTGCCTTACCTCTGCATTAACTTCTTCCAGTATTTCACAGAGACCCCTGGTGCAACTGACAGGGCTTTGTCCCACTAGAATAGAAGGCAAAAAGAGCAGGAGCATATTAATTTCGGTTGCTCTGTATAATTCTTAAGACACTTAAAAAAGATTCCTGTTTATAATATGGAAATCATAGAGTTCTTGAGTCCTGATTTGGTACCCTCTGTCTTCTTTTTGTTCCATAGTCTTAAAAAAATCTTTAAAGAGCACTAATTTTACCTCTCTTAATAATATAAAAGAAGCTGGGCATGGTGCCTGATGCCTGTAAAGCCAGTGCTTTGGGAGGCTGAGGTGGGAGGACTGTTTGAGTCTAGGAGTTTGAGGCCAGCCTGGGCAACACAGCAAGGCCCTCATCTCTACCAAAACAATATATATATTTTTTTAATTAGCCAGGTGTGGTGGTGCACACTTGTAGTTCTAGCTACTTGGGAGGCTAGTTCTAGCTACTTGGGAGAGGATTGCTTGAGCCCAGGGGTTCGAGGCTGCAGTGAGTCGTGATCTCATCACTGCACTCCAGTCTGGGTAACAGAGCGAGACTTCATCTCAAAAAACCCAAAACAAAACAAAAGAAAAGACAAAGTAAAAAAGACTGTATTGACATGGTTAAATTCCAACGACCCCTCAGCTCCTTAGGGAAGGACTAAATGGTTGGTGTCATCACTTACAAAAGTGTCTTTAACTTGATGGAGCTTGAAGAAGTTGAGAAAAATATTTATTTTTTATTGTTATCTTTTAATTCCATTCTCCACAAATTTTTAAAACATTAAAATATTTTAAAATAAAACATGTAAAATTCTATTATTTAGGGAAAATCCAGTCCTAAACCCAGAGAGAAAGAAAGAGAAAAATGGAAGGAGAGACTGAGGGAGAGAAAGGAAGAGGAGAAAAGAAATAGTAACTAAAATATGTTCTTTGAAAAATATATTGACTCATCTTCTTATACAACTCCAGAGTAATTTGTTCTATGGTGTTCAAAATATTAACATTTTTATTTCACTGCTACTTACATGAACAAATATACCATCTATGTCTCTTTTATCCTTTCCTACTCATTTTAATAAATTTTATTTATTGTCATTTCTTCATTTAACTGGTAATACTTGTCTTCATATTTAAAAATTGGACTTCTGTTGAAGAAGCTCATTGTTTAATAAAGGCTGATTGTTACTGTTATATGAAAATATAGATTTCACTGAATTCCAGTCTAGAGTGGAACTGAGAAGAAAATTTTCTGAAATATCACTACATGAAGCAAAATTCATTCTAATTAAGGCTCTTCAAAACACTAGGTTTCTACTGTAATTATCACTAGAAAATTGGTAATTAACCAGAAAAGAGTATGTTAAATTTTAAACAGGCAATTTTTAACACTACATATTTAAAATCATGTTACCTAAAAGGTATCTTAAAATATGTTTTCAGGGGAAATCTGTCTCTAATGGAAGAAAGAAGTTGGAATGTAGATTAAATTAACTTTGAATTCACCAAACTCTTTCAATAGAAACTTGTCTAATAAGTAAAAAAATTAAATGTTTACCTAATCCCACAGTATTAAACAAATAAAAAACACTCCTAAGGAAGTGATTACGAATGATTCTAAGGTTACCCATATTTCTTTTCTTTTCTTTTTTTTTTCTTTTGAGACGGAGTTTCACTCTTGTCACCCAGGCTGGAGTGCAATGGCATGATCTTGGCTCACTGCAACCTCCGCCTGCTGGATTCAAGTGATTCTCCTGCCTCAGCCTCCCAAGTAGCTGGGACTACAGGCATCCGCCACCACGCCCAGCTAATTTTTGTATTTTTGGTAGAGACAGGGTTACACCATGTTGTCAGGGCTGTTCTCGAACTCTTGACCTCAGGTGATCCACCTGACTCAGCCTCCCAAAGTGCTGGGATTACAGGCGTGAGCCACCGTGCCCAGCTTAGGACATCCATATTTCTAACAACTTGCACAGTTTTATGGATCATTTTAAGTACATTGATGAACCTGCATAACAATAAAATTATTAAGCTTCACAAACAGATACCTGATTGAAATAGGCTTTGAGTTAAAGGCAGTTTCAATTATATTTAATCAAATATAAAACTCAGAAAGATAAAGAATTACACTGTTCTATCAAAATTTATTAATTCCTTTTCTCCTTGACTTTTGATAGATCTTCTCTGCAGTAGTGGTGCTTTAAAAAAGCAACTTTTAGTTAAATATTTACTACTTTACAAGGAAAATGTTTACATTGCTCCTAAATTAAAATACTTTTAAATTTATAATGCCTTTTCAATAACATTTTAAAATGGCACATTATTTGGGGTCAAGCAGTAATTCATTGTTTTCTTGAAGTATGTGGAAAGTAAAAAGGTGAGCTAAATTTAGTTTTGATTTATTTTAATGTAACCATATTGCTTAGTTTTACTTTATATTATTTACAAGTATTCTTAATATTATGCTTTGGAGCTACACAATTAACTAACTTAAACATTTTAAAAGATGATAAGCTATGAGATAAGTCCATGCCATTCTAACCATTGTTTTGGTGAGGCAGGGAAAGGAAGAATTTTCACTGAACTAAAATGCATATTCAGAAAAGGGAAAGGTCCAATAAGTTTACACAACCTGAATGTGCCCATGTAATCAACACCCAGGATCAAGAAACAGAAGCCCCATTCTCCCGTGTTCCATTGTAGTCACTACCCATCTACCAAAGCGTAGCAAAAGCATCAATTCATCCTAACCTTTTTGTAAAAATCAGTTTTGCTGATTTAGTCCTCCATTAAACAATCATCATCCTTTATCAGATGATATTCAGCAGAAACCCTTTTTCTGGCCAGTGTGGGATTTAGTTATGACAAGTAGTATTAGCAAGGGGATTCTATTGTGAACTAATTAGCCAACATAGTTTTTTGTTTGTTATGTTTGTTTGTAAGAAGTTAAGATTCCAGCCTAGGGTGGTAGTTCTCAAACTTCAGAATGCAAGAGAATAACACGGAGAGCGTATGAAAACGTAAGATGGCTGGGCTCCAACCCCACAGTTTCTGATTCTGTAGGTCTGAGGTGAGACATGCATAGGGATCCCCAGCGATGCTAATGCTGCTGTCCTGGAACACTTTGATAACTACTCTCCTAACGTCTACACTTAATATCAGATTGATAGAGAATCAATTAGATTTGTAAAAAAGTAAGCTTCCTTTTTTTTTTTTTTTTTTTGAGACGGAGCCTTGCTCTGTCGCCAGGCTGGAGTGCAATGGTGTGATCTTGGCTCACTGCAACCTCCGCCTCCCAGGTTCAAGCAATTCTCCTGCCTCAGCTTCCTGAGTAGCTGGGATTACAGGCACATGCCACCACGCTGGGTTAATTTTTGTAGTTTTAGTAGAGGCGGGGTTTCTCCATGTTGGCTAGGCTGATCTCGAGCTCCTGTCCTTAAGGGATCCTTCTGCCTTGGCCCCCCAAAGTGGTAGGGTTACAGGTGTGAAGGTGTGAGACAGCACACAGGGTATATACATTTATTTTCCTTTTTTTTTTTTTGAGATGGAGTCACCCAGGCTGGAGTGCTGTGGCACGATCTCGGCTTCCTGCAACCTCTGCCTCCGGGTTCAGGCGATTCCCCCTGCCTTAGCCTCCCAAGTAGCTGTGACTAGAGGTGTGCGCCACACACCCAGCCAGTTTTTTTTTTTTTTTTTATTTTTAGCAGAGACAGCATTTCACCATGTTGGCCAGGATGGTCTCAATCTCCTGACCTCGTGGTCCACCCAACTTGGCCTCCCAAAGTGTTGGGGTTACAGGCGTGAGCCACTGTGCCCAACCTTTTTTTTTTTTTTTTTTTGAGACAGGGTCTCTTTCTGTAGCCCAGGCTGGAGTGCAGTGGTATGATCACAGCTCACTGCAACCTCCGCCTCCTGGGCTCAACTGATCCTCTCATCTTAGCTTCCCAAGGTTGGGATTACAAGTGTGCACCACCATGCCTGTCTAATTTTTTGTGTTTTTTGTAGAGGTGGGTTTTACCATGTTGCCCAGGCTAGTATCGAACTCCTGGGCTCAAGTGATCCACCCACCTTGGCCTCCAAAGTGCTGAGCTTTTTATTTTTAATACTTAAAATTGAGTATATTCTTAATATTTAGACTACTATGTTAAACTCATTAGTTTCACTTTCATAGCACATTACCTCTCCAAGTTCAACCATAAGTTCACAGTATCTCTGAATTTGTCCTAATCTCAAGTGGATTTCAGCAGCTTCCTTCAGTCTTTCCTCTTTAGTAGGTACACCAATACCACCACCAAATTTAGACATCTTGACTGTTGTTAGTTCTTGAGCTTCCGACTGGTTTAAAAAAGAAAATAGAATTTTAAAAAATCTGTCATATTTTGTTTTGTATGTATCACAATAATTTGTTGCATATTTCTAAATAACTAAAAGAGAGGAAGTGAAATGTTCTTCACACACAAAATAAGATAAATGCTTGAGGTGCTGGATACCTCAGTTACCCTGATTTGATCAATACTCATTGTATGCTTGTATGAAAATATCACATATACCCCATAAACTATTATGCATCCATAATAATTAAAAATTTTAAAAATTATTTTACAGGAGTTCATAACAATGAGCATATAAACGTTACATGAATACACTTCAAAAGCATATAGCTCTGGAAAGTCAATATTTTAAAAATATTTTTCTCCATAAAATATGATACCTTTCTAAACATAATATTTTGGGGTGTGTGTGTGACACAGGAGGGGAGAGACTGAATCCCATTTTCCTTAACCCTGTCCAGGTGTTGTAGTTACACAGAACAGATAAAAGGTAATGATACAGTAATATACAAGAATACAAAGAGGCCTCTAGTAAAAATAAAAAGTTACTGGCTTACTTTAATTAGCTCCTCTCCTGTCAGATTTTGCAGTTACAGTCATTAGGTGTTTAGTTTGCGATTAAAGAAAGTACTTCCTCATTATGGAAAAAACTCTCTTTATGAGCATTAGATCACATATCTGGCACAACTGTCTCCATGCTTTAACAGTTCACTATAGATATTCCAGAAAAATATACAAGCAATTTTTTCTTTCTGGTCCCAGGATAGGTTTTGTGGTTAGTACTGTAGATTGCCCCAGGGATGAGGTAACTACTAGTTTTTACTGAAATTCATTAAGAGCTATAATATGATCATTTTTTATAAAATTTATCCCAGAATAGCCTATTAGGCCCTCTGAGACTAAAATTAGAATAGTCCATATGTCACAATCATCTGCTAATAGGGGAAAGATAAAGCATTTCAAGGAGTTCCAAGTGACCTTGAAGGAATTTCATGAGACTCAACTGATGATAACCACGATTGACTTAATCTGTTCCCAAGTAATTCACTTTCATGATTCATTTTACCCAAGACAGATCTCCTCAGTGTTCATTTATTTAAATCTACCAATCTAATCATACATATTTTTCAAATCAGTTTTATATTTTAATAGTGAAAAGGCAAAAAATTTGCTTGAGTACATCATATTTGCATACTTTACTCACTGTTCTAAATTTAATCAGATGTTTCAAGTGCATTATTCCTTTGCAGTAGTTCTGAGGAAGTAAGCTGTCATCCTGTCCTTTTATCACAGCAACCAAGTTCCATAAATTGTCACTGCCACCTGGAGGCTAGAGAGTTGATAAAAAATAAATATGTAATAGTGAATTAAAAACCTCATAGTATTTTACATCTTCAAAAATATTATAATGCAGGCATATCTAAATTTAAAAATTAATAAAATAACTACATGTTATTTCATGTGTTGTTTCCAGTTTTACATTTGCTTTCTTATAGTGTACAGATTATGGTAAGAGGTACCCAATGAATTAGAATGGTACATGTAAATATGTGAAAATAGTTGTAAAGATTAATGTTGGCTAAAGGGAAAATATTTGCATTTAATTCCTGTAATACTTACGGATAAACATTCTGAAAACCATCTTAGTTTTTTCACTCGAGAATTAGCGGTTAGTTTTTCTATTTCTTGTCTAATATCTCTTGACACTTTACCACACAATAGAGGAGGAGTGCCTGGTTCTACAGCACAATCTGAAAAACAGACATAATTCAGTGAGAGAAGATTTCTCATAAAACGTTTAGAAATAAACTATAATACATGTATATATTCCATACCAGTGTTCCCAATAATTTCTTCCCAAGATCTGTCTGCCAGAATATTTATTTGTACAGGAGTGATTAAGGCTGTTAATGACCAGAGTCTCACTGTAGAGTCACGGGAGCAAGAGGCCATAGTGAAGGGGCGACTGGGATGGCAGGTTAAACCTGATGAAAATAAAAATCTATTTTAAGTAAAGTGAACATTGAAAAATATTCTTTATTTATATGTGCTTCATAAAACTTCTACAGAATTGAAGCTATGAAGAAATATTATGAGTAACTGAAAGATTCTTAGTCAACCTTGTATCTGTATTTAATATATTGGCTGAAAATAGTAACAGAATGCAATAAATCATTTCATATATCCTATAAATATGAATATAAAATTGAATAACTATTAGAGGCTGGACATGGTGGCTCACGCCTGTAATCCCAGCACTTTCCTGGGAGTCCGAGGCGGGTGGATCCCTTGAGCCCAGGAGTTTGGGATCAGCCTGGGCAACATGATGAAATACCATCTCTACCAAAAATACAGAAACTAGCTGGGTGTGGTGGCACGTGATTGTAACCCCAGTTACTTGGAAGGCTGAGATGGGAGGATATCTTGAGCCTGGGGGGTGAAGGTTGAAGTGAGCTGTGTTTGCGCCACTGTATACCACCCTGGGCAATAGAGCCAGAGTGAGACTCTTGTCTCAAAAAAAAAAAGAAAGAAAGAAAGAAAAAAAAAGAAGAAAAAATTATTAGAAAGCAAATGGTCATGGATGAAAATGTGAAAATTATATTTTGTGTGGTTAAGCAGCAACAAGTATACTGTAAAACCAATAGCATACATAGTATCTGTGAGTTAATGGATGGGCAGATGACGTTCTAGTTAAAAGACGAAGACCTGGGGACATTTCAATTCAAATATTGACAAATATGATTCTCTCCCACACTCAGTCCCGCATTGTCTTGGCTAAAAGGCCATTGTGGTTAAGCATATGGATTTGAATCTGATCTAGATTGAGGTTACTTTCTCTAAGAAATCATTTTTGGATTCTTAATCTGCCCATTTACTCCTATCAAGGTTTAAGGATGAGAATAAATACAAACAAGAATGAGAGTGAAGAGATGTGCAAATGGTAAGTAATCTGATTTTCCATAACCACGTTAATTATATTAAAACAACTTGGGATTATATTCAAAAACAAAACACTGTACTAAACATCCAAGAATAGAGGAATGGTTAAATAAGTGGTATCTACTCTATTACTGATTTCCTGTTAAACAACTTACCTCTGGAGTAATGTCAAAGGAAGGAAGACAAACAAAAGCCAGACATATATATATACGCCCATCGCAATATGTGTGCATTGTGTGCGTTTGTGTGTACACAGAAACGGGTGCAGATGGGGCGAGGGGGAGAAAGACACCACAGTGCTAACAACAGTCATCTTCGGTAATTTTTGTTGACTTTTTCTTCTGTATATTCTGGTATTATAATAATAAACATGTATATTTTCTAATGTGAAAAATGTTACTGTAAAATAAAACACTGTATAACTTCTTCAAAAATACTGTATTCCTCAGAAATTATAAGCACCATTAGTAGGTCAATATAACTAATACATGAAAGAATAAAAGACACTTTACCATATACGTCTGCACCGTGATCATACACAGTATCCACACAAGTTCCTTCTCGAGTGTCCCATACTTTTATGGTATAGTCCCAGCTGCCAGATATGAGCAGATACGGAATCTCAGTATTCCACAATAATCCCCTCACAGGTGCAGTGTGTCCACTAAGAATACTGATGCAAGCATCTTCAGTATAATCCCAGATGCGAATGGTACTGAAAACAGAATATTATGGGTGTGATAACATTCAAGTTCTAATGTATCTAGAGTATTAACATATTCTTAATAGAGTGTAATAATTATTGATTAGCTTATCTAGAAGCATTTTATGTCTCAAGATAAAAGGTTCTCTTCATTTCATTTTAATTTAAAAAATAATAATTGTATATATTTGTGTGATATTTTGATATATGCTTACAATGTGGAATAATTAAATCAAGCTAATTATTAACAAATTCATCCTCTCACACACTTTTCTTCACAGTAGATGGAAATGAATATTTAACTAGGCTAGTGTTAGCTTATTTAAACATATTTTCTTTCTTGACTTTTACTCTTCATTTATTACTGGTAGCAAATATATTATTTCACAGTTTTTATGTGAATAAAATTGCTTTGTTAAAATGACATATCAAAAACAGATATAACCAAAGTGGAAAATACGACTAATAATACAGATACAGTAATTTAAGATATTAAGATTATTTGTAAATTATAAAAGTATAGCACGTATGATGATGGGTATTATTTGAAATGTCGCTTCATATTTATGCTTTAATCAATACAGCAAATAATTCCTTCACATTTTTGTCAGTGATATAAGTTGCTTGGTCAGTGCAGAATAAATCTTAGATCAAGTTAAAGAATTTAAATATAACTGGATTCGTGAAATTACTTGTATCTATTGATTGTACAAATGTTTCTGAAATTAAAATTTAACTTACAATCAGTGTAAGACCTCCAACTGCTAATTTTGCTTAGACAATTCACAGTAATTTTTTAGTCAGAGATAAATGTCAAACAGATAAAAAAATAGTAGTACTTCAAAAGTATTACTATTTTGCACTATATAACATAGGAGATAAATGATATATTCTTATTTCTTAAGGCATATCCCTTTCTGCTTTACATAAAAAGTTTCCTTTTGGCCAGGCACAGGGGCTCATGTCTGTAATCCCAGCACTTTGGAAGGCTGAGGCGGGCGGATCATGAGGTCAAGAGATCAAGACCATCCTGGCCAACATGGTGAAACCCCATCGCTACTAAAAATACAAAAATTAGCTGGGTGTGGTGGTGCACACCTGTAGTCCCAGCTACTAGGAAGTCTGAGGCAGGAGAATCGCTTGAACCCGGGAGGCGGAGGTTGCAGTGAGCTGAGATCGCACCACTGCACTCCAGCCTGGTGACAGAGCAAAACTCTGTCTCAAAAAAAAAAGAGTTTCATTTCTTCTTCGTCCTCTTAAGCTAGTACATGACAATATATCAAAGTATATTATAATCTAAATTTTTTGTTGCTAATTTCTGATATATGTTAACATTTAAATATTTTACATTTGATATACTTTCATAAATAAGAATACATTAAAGGGACTTGTATCAAAACAATTTAATGCTATTGTAGGGGCCACTAGAACAGGCATCTTTCCTTTTATGACATGTTAGGTAGTTAGGCTTTGAAGCCCCAATGCATGTTTTTTGGTCAAATCTAAGAAAGGCTTTTACAGGCCCCACTGCAAATGAGTGCCTGAGGCTTTCCAGGCCGAAGCACAGCATCTGTGAGTTCTGTCATGAGTACAGCAGCATAACTGATTTCCCTAACATTCTGACTTATTTCAAGTCATAACCTAGAGAAATCTCATAATTATTTCTTATTAAATTTGGATTTATGCCAAAAATTCAATAAAAATGCTTAATCATTCAATACTAAATCTGTGGTTCCCAGCTACTCGGTAGGCTAAGGCAGAAGAATCACTTAAACCTGGGAGGTGGAGGTTGCAGTGAGTCGAGATCACGCCACTGCATTCCAGCCTGGGTGACAGAGGGAGACTCTGTCTAAATATATATATATTTCCACATATAATTTGATCCTATAAATACGTACATTTCTAGGAAAGTATCAGCTTATGATTTTAAGGACTAGAAAATTAGAATCCAAAAATACATACCCATCATCAGAACCACTGCAAAGAATTCCCTCTCTCAGAGGAGACCATTTAACATGAAACACTTTTGCTGTATGCCCACTAAATACTTTCAATGGTTGATCTGAGCTGGTGGCTACGTAATAAACACGAACATTTGTGTCTTCACAGCCAGTGGCTATCATGTCTCTGAAATATCATCAATGGAATATTGACATAGGATAAATATGATATATAACTGATAATTAAAGGTATACCATAGTTCTAATTTCTAAAAGTAGAATTTTTGCTTCCTTAGCGAAGTTAGATTAAAAACTTACACATGTAAAAAATCATGTGTAATCACTCTACTACTCATTTACAGAAACTGCACCAGTATGGAAAGAGTTTTTTTCTGCGTTTTCTTTTAATTGGTCGAATTTTTATTTTATTTATTTTAGGTCAGAGGTCATGGTATTTCTATTTCTGTAAGTTCTTTCTCAAGATGACCAGACTCATAATTTTCTGAATTTTTCTCAAACTTTACATTTTGCAACATTTAGGTGTTAATAAGCATCCCAAATGGTGAGTGATGACATTTGCTTACTTGCTGGTGGACAAATTATTATTACACGCCTTAGCCCATTTGTTAGATTGTTTTTGTGGCATGGGTATAAACAGCAATATTCTCACTGAAAGTTTTTTGGAAAAGCTCCCTGCAGACTAGGGTTGTCTCATTGGGCAGGGAGTCAGAGTCCAGTTTTCCATTCCTTTTTGATGGCTTCCCTTCTTTAAGATGCTTTAACTGTTTGATACAACTATGGAGTCCCTGGAAATAGAATATGATCTTTTAATGTTCTTTGCTCATCATTCTCACAATAGTGAGAATAAGCTAAGCAACTGCTTGTACCTTCGTGATCAAACTTGGAATACTGCTAGGAAAGGAATTCTGAGTACTAGGCAGACCTGTGGAAATCACGGACCTGCCAGAATAGTCTACTTGAGGAACATCTACTCTAACCATCACATAAACGGTCTCCACGTGCTAAACATAAAGACAGGCAGTGACACACTGTGGATCTCAACCGTCATCAAAACCCTTTCAAAACTTCAAACTGGTGACTTTGTCACATGGGTTATAAGACTTATATTACATTATATGGGTTATAAGATTACATCTTCTCAAGGCCCACTGATAAACAAGACAGTTTCTACACTTGGGAAATATATTTTACATATATATATATTTACATGTATATATGAGTATATTTTTATATATGTATGTGCAGATACATAAATATAAAGTCTTAGAAATGGTATCATAAACATTTAAAGAATGCACATAAAGATATCGAAATTATACAGTCAGAGATATCTTATAAATAAACTTTGTTATGTTCAAGGTTCACTTACCTACTAAGATGCTAAGTGGAATATGAATACAGCAATTAAAACATTTTAAAAGGTTTTTAAAATTAAAAATGAAATGTATTAGGTATGCTTGGTAGTAAGCATAATAGTTAAATATAAAGGACTTCCAGTGTCATCTGAAAATAAAGCTTTCTTAAATAACTAAACATATTATATTAATATCTAACTTTTATTTCAACTGGCCAAATGGGTTATTAACTCTAAAAACAGAGAAATAGGAATGTGGAACCGTTCTATTAGTCAGATACAAGGTAATTCTGTTCATTTGCATATTTAACAAATATTTATTGAATATCTCCTTTTTTCAAGGCATAGTGAAGGTCAGCAACTGAGTGTTTTGCTAAGAATATGCTGTTTAACACAGATAACACAGTTGGCAATCTCACAGGGCTTACATTTCAGAGGGTGAGACAGTCATTATGCAACCAGGCAACAAATAAAATTTAATTTTACTATATTAAGTGCTCCAAAGGCATATTATATGGGAAACTTATTTCATATGGGGTCAAGGAATACTTTTCTGTGGTTGTTGAGCTGAAAGCTGAAGGATGGGTAGCAGTTATCTATGTCCCACCCAGGTAGGGTGTGTGGTGTAGGATGGGAAAAAGAATCCTAGGTAAGGCGGCCAATATAAGTGAAAGCCTTGGGGCGAAAATCAGATGGCTAGTTCAATAAACTGAAAGCCAGTGTGGCTGGATGCAAGAAGTAAGGGAAAGCAAGCCTGGGAATGAGATTAATAAAATAGGGAAAAGATTAGTCAGGGACCTTCTTGTAGCGCTTGCTAAAAAGTTTTCATTTTATCCTACAGTTAATGGGAAAGTATGGAAAGATTTAAGCAGTAGAATGGTGTGCTCAGCTCTGTGTCTTAAATGTTCATTCTGACTGCAACATGGAGAGGTGAGGGAGAGAGAGAGGAGGTGATGATAAAGGGTGTAAACTGTAGAATTGACTTTGAAGGTTTCTGCAGGACTCAAAAAAACCCAAATGTTATTGGTTTAGTGGCAGGTTGATAGGAAAAATTTATATTTTTTTCTTTTAAATTGAAACAGGCTCTGGCTCTATCACCCAGGCCGCAGTGCAGTGGCACAATCATGGCTTACTGCAGCCTCGACCTCCTGGACTCAACCCATCCTCCCACCTCAGCCCCCCGAGGAGCTGTGACTACTAGTGTGCCCCACCAGTCTGACTAATTTTTTCATTTTTTTTTTTTAAGAGATGAAGTCTCACTATGTTGCCCAGGCTGGTATTGAACTCCTGAGCTCCAGTGACGCTCTGGCTTCAGCTTCTGAAGTGCTTGAATTAGAGGTATGAGCCACCATACCCGGCCAAGATGAATATTTAGACAGAGAAAATTACAGGCATTGGTGGCTGATTGAAAATGGAAAGTGAGACATAAAAATGTGTAAAAGAAAAGGCTAAGGATTCTGGCTTTAGCAGTTTTTCTTGTTAGCAATATTGGCCACTGAGATAGGAAATACTGGGGATGAGCGGATAGTGAGCTTATTTTACATATAACCTTAACAGTGTGTAAGGTCGGGTGTGGTGGCTCATGCCTGTAATCCCAGCACTTTGGGAGGCCGAGGCGGGTGGATCACTTGAGGTTGGGAATTTGAGACCAGCCTGACTAACATGGAGAAACTCCGTCTCTACCAAAAATATAAAATTAGCTGGGCGTGGTGGCGCATGCCTGCAGATCCCAGTTATTCAGGAGGCTGAGGCAGGAGAACTGCTTGAACCCGAGAGGCAGAGGTTGCCGTGAGCCCCGTGAGCTGAGATCGCGCCACTGCACTCCAGTCTGGGCAGCAAGAGCGAAACTCTGTCTCAAAAAAACCCACAAAAAACAGTGTGTTACATACTCTTCTGCACTTACTGGAGGAAACACATAGGTCTGTCATTTTGTAAAATGTGTGATTTGACTCGGAATACAAGTATAGTTAGGCTTTAGTACCTTAATCTGTATTTCCCACATTTCATATGAAATAACATAATTCACATTGTTTTTGACAATATCTTAAATAACTTTGAATTTTTAGATATATTTTATATCCCATTAAAAGAGGCTTGAAACACAATATTCTAAGAAATGCAATGAGTTAAAGGTCTAATTTTAGTGGAGATTTGACTTGGACATAATTTTAAATCTAAGCTGATTTTTACATGATAAGTACTCTGCTGTCAAACAAGATTGACCTTTCAAAACCAGGCCCTTAAGTTCCACATCGTGGAAAATTACCCAGTGCCAGAGGCATTAGCATCAGGTGGGGGACAATGCAAAGTCACAGTGGAGCACTGGCACCGCACAGATTCCTCAGTGAGATTAAAAAAAGGGCCACATTTCTATGACAGAAGCCATACATGCAATGGACTCATTTCCATTTTTCATTAGTTAGCATTATTTTTTTTCCTATGTGTTAGAAAGTTTTTTTGAGAGTAAGAAATCAGTATTTGTAAATCGTGTAAAAACTTCATGGAATAAAAATAACTAAAACAAATGAACAATTACAAGGCTGTTTCTCATTTGCCAGGCAAAGGGGATATTGTATAAATAGAGTGATAAATATTACCTTTGGAAATAGCACTAAACTTTACGGTTATTTAAAATTTCCAAAATGCAGTTATTATTTATTTCAGAGAAAACCACTTACTTATTGTTTTGGCTCCAATCACAACCAAACACTGCAGCCGGATGTTTATATTTGTGTAGCACTTTACCATCAATTGTTCGAATAATACTAGAATTAATTATAACGTGTTAATAGAAAAACAACATTCTAATACATTATTCAAGGAAACAAAGTCAGAATTGTAAATTTCAAATAGAAATATTCCAGGACAGAGATTTTGTCTACCAAGCACAAGGAACATTTGACAGTATTGTGTAAATATTAGCAATTACGAGTATATTTGCATCTCTTAATATTAATTATGGTAACCTACAATTAATATAAAGTAATAAATTTTTATTTAAAAAGTATTTTCTTGGCCAGGCACGGTGGCTCATGCCTATAATCCCTGCACTTTGGGTGGTCGAGGCAGGTGGATCACTTGAGGTCAGGAGTTTAAGACCAGCCTGGCCAACATGGTGAAACCCCATCTCTACCAAAAAATACAAAAACGGTGGCCAGGTGTGGTGGTGCACACCTGTGGTCTCAGCTTCCAGGAGGCTGAGGCAGGAGAATCACTTGAACGCAGGAGGTGAAGGCTGCAGTGAGCTGGGATTGCGCCACTGCACTCCAGCCTGAGCGATGGAAAAACAACAAACACCCTTGTTCTTATAGAATTTTTTTAAATTGAGGAAAACATAGTCTAACACATTTTAAAACATATATGTTAGATTTTTAGCTTCAAAATGAGGTAGTTCAAAATTTATAGTATTTAAAACAACTATTTATAAAGCTGGTTTTATGTACCATTGCACCAAGACCAAGACATTAAGTTATAACTTTTCATTGCATACTCTCAGTAATATAACTACAATTCAGAGATGATTCCCTACCCTCTGCTATCAGAAAAGGATTCTATGTAATATAACTGCAAAAATAAAAGCTCTACTACCCTGCTCTATTATTACCACAACGCAAAAGCTATTGATTCCACTAGGAAAAAAGCATGTACTAATTAATGTGTTATGAAGTTTTAGAAGTGTATGGAAAAGACTGTCTTAAATGTTATTAGGCCCACCAACACTTTTGAGGTTACTGGGGAGTGATGGTGACTTATGCTTACAGGTGTTTAGTCATTGAATGTGGTATCTTGTCAAACAAATAATGCCCTGAAATACATGGTCAAACTAATTTTGTATCACTTAATCAAAAAACTCACGTCTTTTGTATTCTGGTATCTATCAATTAGCACATAGTTTCTTTCAAGGAAAAAAAAATCACTAATATTGTTGTTTCTGAAAATTTTAACTTCCCAGTAAGGATCTTTGGTTTCCGTAACTACTGTCTTTTCTACTGAAATTAAAAAGTAAGGAAGAGAAGACTGGAGTGGATTTAGCAAAACCTAACAACTTCTGTATTCTCAAGAACCATGAGTGTCTATACCACGTATCCACCTATCAAAGATGACTTTATCCATAGATAGTTACAGGGGAGGAGCATCTGATTTTAAAAAGTTTTTTAAACCAGCCATTTTTTGCTTACATACTTTTTATTTGGAAACTTACTTATTTCTGGAACTTAAGAAAGCACATACTTCTAAAACACAGGGTCAGTGAAGTTATTTCCTAACAAAAGACATTTCCCACATGCATGACCTTATTTCTCCTTGCAAAGGCTTTTTATCCCTTTATAAATAACAGCATCTACAAAACTGTAAACAAGTTTCTACAGCACTTTATATCTGCTGAATCACCTGTAAAACTGAAATACTACTGTGACCTCATCGTGATAATTACTAAGTGAAAAGTCCTTAAAGTTTATTTGAGGCAAATAAATGAGTATTTTCATAACAATTCAAGTAGTATTTTCACTGAGAATGCAATGAATGGCTTATTAAACAAATTTTGTGATGTGATGTGATGATAATTACTAAGACTATGTGAAAAGTCCTTAAAGTTTCTTTGAGGCAAAAAAATGAGTATTTTCATAACAATTCAAGTAGTATTTTCATTGAGAAAGCAATGAATGGCTCATTAAACACATTTTAAATACCTTTGCATTGTTATTTATTGATGATACATTATAGTAATATAATATGTGCCTATATGGGCTTAAAAATAATGCTTCTGAGAGTTGGCAGAGCTGTACAAATGAAATATCACTGATAAACAATTGGAATGATCAAATGGGAACAGTGTAATTTCCTATCATGTATCATACATAATACTTACCAGAAACCATCACTGCTGCAGGTTGCTATTCTTTTAGAATCTTTATGACTCCAGGCAATACAGAATATTCCATTTGTTCCATGCTTCAAAAAATGTAAAATACCTATCAATAAGAAATAATTCACCCCTTTTTTTCTCTTATATATTTACTTCTTCTAAGTATTACTTTTCTATTAGGAATGTGCTTTAGATGACGCTAACAGAGGCATTACTGTCAAGAGCAGAAACCTGCACATATACTTTAAAAATGTCTAAAGCTGTCACAATTTAAAAGTTTTAAGATATCAATCTGCTGTTTTAAGACATAAATCAGGTGGCTCCATTTCCTTTTGTTGGATACAAGGTAAAGAGTCAAAATATCCTTCTTAAGTGATCTGTAGATTTAAGCTCTGCTTAATGCTTTTTCCCATGAATACCAGTATGGTGATGAAAACAGTTATCTGTCTGATTCCAAACACAGCGCTACTTCAACCTCAGTATAAGAAATGTTGTAAGCAGTTATTATTGGTTGTTTCTCTAAGTTCCAAAGTTGTTCCATTTTATAAAGAAATCAGAATAGATTTAACATTATTCCTATAATAAATCACATTATATTTGCTTGATTTTCTGCTTTCTAGGACTGAGGAAGGGCCAGGGGATATAGTTATAGCTGGAATTATAAGAATTTTTAAAACTAGAAGGAATATATTATACACGAGAGTGTCGTTCATCAACTGTGTGATCAGTAAATAAAAGTTGTAATCACCCATTTCTAAATTTTAATTAAAACATTTCTACTTTATATAGTACTTAAATTGTGGCTTCCATTAAGGGGAAACTAAGGTGACTTTTTATCTTGTATCTTAAGGTTGCTGTGTAAATATAGCTTTAACTTAAAGCAATCTCCAGTTCGCTGGTTGTGCCTCTTTGAGGATCAAGGAGGGTAGGTTTATGCAGGCAGATTTAAAAATGGGACTAGTCCCTTTATTCATTCATTTTATGAGGTGGAGGCCTTCTGTCAGCTTCATTTATTCCCATGAAAATTGCATTTATGACTCTCTACTATCCCGCAATTCTTTTCGTGGAACACGTGTAGCTTAGTTAATTAAAGCTGGCATTGTAAATTTTTCCCTTATTCATGACATAGGATTTAAGCAATTTCAATAGTGGTCTTAACTGTGCTAGTGAATGCTGGGAAAGACATAAAGAAATAAAAGACATGTCCTTGATACTAAATGCTGGGTTTCCAGAATCAGGCTGGAAGTGTTTAGGTATTAGTGGGCAGATATGTGAGATTCCAAGTTGCCAAGATGCCACAAGAAAAAATCAACAGATCTAATAAGTAAAGATACACAATTTTTGAATCTAGGCTGTAAGTTTCATTTTTAGGCTCATCTCTTCTTATAATCCACTATTTATTATGGGATAAATTATTGTTTTGGTGATGGGAGGGAAGATGGCAGGTTGGGGCACTGCTAAACTGAAAGGGTATTGTGTTGTATGTAGAGAAAGGGAAGGATGTAAGTTTTAGAATCCTTTGTCAAAGTTTCCTTTTTTGAGTGCAAAATTGCTCACAGTGGTCCATAAAGTTTTCCTAAAAACTCTGCATTTGCTGCACTACTACAAGTAGTGGGAAAGCAAGACTATTAAGGGGCATCTTCAAAGGGATAATACTCTTTGTATAGATGTTTTTAAAACCCCAAATATAGAAGCAATTTTCAAAGAAATTATATATTTAATAAGCTTCAACAGTAACCATCTAAAATAAACGAAATTTCAAGACAATCTTAGATCATTTTCCCGATTCACACCTAGTATTTTGTAATCAGATTACATGTATTTTTCAAATATCAGTGGAACTCAGTAAAATATAGGATGACAATATAACTCCAAGCCAAAGGAGAAATAAAATCTTGATGCTACAAATATGAGAGAGCAGGTTTTAAGGCTCTTCATGGAAGAACAGAATTTGAAAACTGGAAGGAAATCTAAGAAACTATATAATCCACCTTCATCATTTTGTAGGTGAAGAAACAGGTTTAGGGCAATAAAATGATTCCCCTTATGTCAAGAGCTAATTAATAACAGAACCAGGACTATAATTTGCGACTTGCTCTGAGTTTAGTCTTCTTCCTATTATTTAGTATTTGCCTAGATTTTGTGGAGGATGACCCCAAATTCCTCTGACTCTCTAATGCAACTTTAGGTGACTCAGCTACAATTTTCAGAATTCATTTTAGTATGTGAGCATCCTTTAGGATTTTCTTCTAATTGAGAGATCATACATACCACCTGATTATATTAAGTGTTATTATATTATGAAATAAAAATATTTACAAAATACAAAATGGTATAAAACATTATATTATTCAGTAGCAATAAATAAATCTTACCTCATTAAATCGTTGTATAATTTTGCCCTTTTGAACATTCCAAATAAAAGCACCATTTCGGGAAGTTCCCCCAGCAATACAATTTAAACCACCTTAGGAAACAATTTGTTAGACATTATACTAAATGTTTCCCACAAATGTAATTCTTTTTAAAAAACATAACTTGTGAAAATGTAAGAATTGAGATTTGCAAACTAATTCTTTAATTTTTTTGGAAATTATTAAACGCATAAAATACAGATAAAATAATACAATTAATGTATCCATTATACAGCTTCAACAATTATCAAAATATGGCCAATCTTGTTCTGTCTATAGCATCTGCTGAAGTTCTTTGGAGTAAATCTCTGACATCATATTATTTCATTCTTAAAAACTTCAGTACGCATGTCTAAAAGACAGGGACTTCTTTATTGACCAAGACCAGACTCTCATGGAGATTAACAGTAATTCCTCAATATTGTCATATATTCAGTCTGTATTCATATTTCCATGATTAGTAGTATTTCAATGGTTATGAAAGTATTTCTACGAACAGATCACATGAAAAATACAGTTTCTCCATAAAAACATAAACAATGCTTTCTGTGTTTAAGAAATAAAAAATATTTGTGAAAATAAAACTACTGCTAAGTGAATGGTCAAGGACTTAAATAAGTGCCTTTTGCAAGACAGTGAAAGAAAAGGTTTTCTCCATCAGAAGAAAGGAGCAGCTGTCATCTGCTATCTAGGAATAAAAATATGGAGAAACTACTTTCTGATAAACGATTATACACACTAAAATGTTCTCATCATATTTCTAACATTTTTATTCTGCTCTCCTTTTGGGGTTCTTAAATTATTGGGGATATGTTTCAAAATTTATTTGCTTTTGTTTTCTTTTCGTCTTCTATCTACACTAAGATACAGAGGAAATTACGTAATTATCTATATCCTACTCTATTTCCATCCTTGTCAACCCTTGTGTATCCTTTAAATATCATCCCCACTTACCTCAAAGTCATGATTCACCAGTAATCACATAACAGAAAATGACAGAATTTCCATTTTCTAACATTTTTACTTTCTTGTTGCAAATTCTCAATGTAGAGAGCAAAAGAATGCTATAAGTCAGATTAGGTCTTCTGTGTTATGATTTGAAACAATAGTTTTTACAGTCACAAGTTTTATTTATGTTTTATGTTTCAGATAAATACTTTCGTAGGATGAAGAGTATTCAGCTAATAAGAGCTCTAGTGCAAGGTGACTGCACTGGCGGGTGCAATTCCTATATTGCTAGCTAAGGTAACCCACTGTGGAGGTGCATACTGCAATAATCAAGATAACAGGCTCAGTTATGTTCTGCTTAAAGGACAAACATTGTCATTAAGAGTTGTAAGTAAAACCTTTTTCTATAACTCTCCTCATTGTAGGAGATGAAGGATACACAAAGCAGTGGTCCTTAACCTTTTTTGTATCATGAAACTCTGAAAATCTGAGTACTATGATACTCTTTGACAGATATAGGCATATATACACATCCACTAAAAATTATTCATAAATTTCTAAGAGATTCCCAAACTCTCTGATGAAATATAAAACCCTTGGAGGCCCACATATTCAAAGTTAAGAATCCCTGCGTATGAAGAAATAACTTTAAAAATAAGGATGAGCTATATCCACATTGCATATAGTTACTGAATTAATATATTACTATTAGGCCAAATAAGTAAACCATTATATATACTTTAAAAGTGAAAAATTTATTTAAGTGTGTGAAATCATTTGTTATGGGAAAATAATGTTTTGGGAGACAATGTCAGAGGTTTCATAGGACATCTCTCCTTTATATGTACAGCAAGGTAGAAGGTGGCATCTAAGATCAGAGATAAGATCTTATTATGGCATACAAGTTCTTCAGTATTTCAAAGGTGAACTTAATATAGAATTACACAGTTACAAGTGAACTTACTTGATATATAACCATAAACAGGATTTACATTAAAATTTGCCAGAAAACTTCTATCATGTAAATTGTATTATACTTTTAAAGGCGTAGCCATAGAAATACAACTAATATTAGATGGGTGAAGATAATCCTGATTTACTGTGGTTTTTCTGTATGACTTGTTATATAGAGGAAACCAGGAATCAAAGTGCCTCTGAAGATAGACTCTTCTTAAACCTCGCAAAAAGAGAATCAACAAATACGTTCACACTAATTTGCTCTACATTCATTTAGAACAAGACGAGATCAAGAGGAAGAAAGTAACTCAGATGAATATAAAACTTTAAAAAGCCGTTTCATTGCACTCCCAATTTCAATAAAATATCTCTTACCTGGAGCCCAAGAAAGGGAATAAATAACACCTTCATTCCCCGGGGATGTGTACACTGCTGTTAATGTATGTATATCCCAGACTTTTATGGTGCCATCAAAGGAAGCTGTTGCTAAAAGATTCGGATCATCAGGCTTGAATTTGCAGTCAAAGATAGTTTCCACATGTCCCTAGGAATATGGCATAAAGACTCATAATTATTGAGAAAACTTCACATTACTAATAGACGAACCACAATGTATACTCAAATCGACACATGTAGTATGGTTTTCCAAATATTAATGCAAAAATACATAGGCAAGAAAAACAACAGAAAACTGGAATCACTATGGTGATTGAATTTTCTCTGTGCCATGACTGTATTATTTTGTACAGACCTAGATTTTAGTCAACCATGGTTCCTCAAATCAGCAACTAAACTCAAAGATGTTCAGAAGTCTCACTTTTCAATTTCAATTCAGTGCAAAAGGTATTTTCTATTTTTATTAAACTTACAGAATGCTATGCCAGAAATCTATAAAGCAATTAACTTAATAGTTACCATATGTCCTCTGGCACTATAATAGAAGACCAAGATGAAACTCAAACTAAAAGTCATTTAATGCAAATATTCCTTTTTTATACGAATGCTCCAAAAGCACCTCATAATTTTAGCAGAAACAAAAGAATCAGGCATAAGCCCAATTTTTAATGAGCCTTGTCCCAAAATTTTCTAAGTCTATTCTTTGGAATCTGAATACTTGTTCCCATTACACAATGATTTGGATCCCAAACACCCACAAGACTATAAAGTGGTATATGCAGATGCATGTAAACATATACCAGTAAAGTAGTGCTTAACTACTGTGGGCCTTTGGGAAAATCCATTAAGAGACCAACATAAATAGCCGGAATTATAACTATTCTAATGCTGGGGAATAGGAATAGAAATTTCTTCTTTAAGCAAACGAAACTAACATTTGAGATCTAGAGACGGGGTTGAAGTACAAAGACAGGGTTTTCTAGTCCTCAACTAATAGAATAAGGGTAGAGAAGAAAGTTCTTAAAACTCTGTACTTCCATTAATACCACAAATCACAACCGTTACGAAACTACAAAAGTACTGTAAAGTTTCTCCTTTAGGTGGAGGTAAAGGAAAGAAAAATCTCAAGGGTTAGCAAGAAGGAAAAATGTTGTTAGAGTCACTGGTTCACCTGGCTGCAGCTGTTTCACGTGGTCATTTCCAATGTTAGGAACATAATCAAGGCAGGGACTTACATGCAGTTTTAAATGTTATTTCACTGCTAAGCCTTAAATTTTTATTTTTTGAAATATGAAAATTCACATAGCAAGAACGAAATTGTAAATGTTTCTTCCGTGTTTTCTTCTTACCAACAGGAAGGTGGGTAAGAAGAGGAAAATGTTGTGGCATTTTTCTTAATTTTAATGAAGCAAATATTCACATGGAAGTACACCTTTTGGAATGTTTAATAATAAGATTTTTAAAATTATGTAAGATTTTAAAAAATATTAATAATATATTTCTCATCCTATGTAATCTGGAATCTTTAGAGATGCTTTATACATACAGTAGTTCAGAGCTGTTTCTTCTGGTAACACTTTGAGAAATTTCAAATTTGGATCTATATTAAGAAAATTGAAACTATAAGGAAAAAATGACTGCCTCCTGACTGGCATACAATTTAAAGTCAGAAAAGCAACTGAGATAATTTATAATCAAGCAGCTTTAGTATTCAGCATTTATTAGAATTATAAATTAACAGATTTTAAGTAAAATACACTTTAATATGAAGTGTCATAGAAAATTTATTGAATTTAGATTGCATGACTTCTCTTCTGCTTATATAACTTTTTATAGATTTAAGTGTATTCTTACGTTTCTCTCCCTTCCCTTTCATAAATTTTTTTGAAAATAAACGGTAATTTGAAGTACACAAAAAGTTTACCACACTAGGAAACAGTTTATATAAAAAGAAAAGTTAAAGTGAAAAGAAAATTATATCATCCTCAAATGAATATCTACAAAATGAAAATTTAAAAATAATTAAACTACAGATTATTCTAAAAATATTTTTGCTATAAATCAATTTTTCATTTGAGGATAAAATTAAATGAGAAGTCTTGAAAAGATACAATACTACTGATTCTTTCTCTCCCTTCAGTCATAAGGACAATTACAGTTCTAGATTCTTTTTCTAAGATCAAAAGAAAATAATTAGCATTTAAAAGTTTCTTAAATGTCCAGATTAGTCTAATTCAAACCAGTGGAAAAAGACAGGGGCATTTTTAGAAACTCTAAAGTAGGGAAAATTAAAGACGGTGGTTTTTGACAAATATTAATTACAACACAATATGTATTATTGCATGTCTTCATTCATTCATTCAACAAAATTTAATAGTCTTGCTGTGTGGCAGATACTATATTAGGTAGTGGGGCTGTACCACCGAACACAACCAGACAAAAATGTGGGATCTCGAGAAGGTTGTATTTTATCTTATATAGGGGCTTAATTATCAGAAAAACAGAATTCATGGAATCACTTAAGTATCATAACGATTCAACAATAGAAACAAATCTTAGAAAACATAATCCAACCTTACTCAACGAATGGGAACAATAAGGCTTTGAGTAACTGGCAGAGATCAACTTGTCTTTTCTCTTGAAAGGACATTCTATTCTCGTTTTGCTTCCAAAATATACTACAGCTATGTAATTTTCCATTGTACATAAAATATAAGTAGACATTAAGATTTTAAAAGTATAGCGGTTAAAAATTATTTTAGTAGTTTTATCATCATTCTATGCATTTTCTAAAATGTTTCAACTAGCTACAATAAATTTCTAATATATTATTACTTACAAAAATAATTTCAAATAATATTAAGATACAGGTAAAAGTAAAGATCATGGGTTTACACAAAAAAGTGTTATGTATAATAAAGGAATGACTAAATACATACCAAGTCTCTAAGAAAATCCCACTTCTTAGCTCCCATATCATAAAGTCCAACTCCACCATCCAAGAAACAACACACTGCATGACCAGGAGGAAGAGAAAACGCTTGATTCTGTGTCAAAGTTGGGGGTGGAACTGCTTCACTTGTTGAGGATGTATAATGGTTTTTGGTTGGAGATTGGACTGAAACTAAAATAGAAGGAAAGAAAACATTCTTATGGAATAAAACCACAGAACTTAATTTAGAAAGATTCTTCATTAAAAAAAAAAAAATTCCAGAATCTGTACCAGTAAACCCTTTAGGCAATGATCATATTTTTCACCACATGAGCACTTCTTCGGGATTGCCAAAAAATACAACACAAAATTGGATATTATTTTAAAGTACAGATGGAGCCAAGAGACGAAAATTAGCGTGTTGAGGGATCACAATCTGTTGTGAATATGTGGTTTCTTATCACCCCATAAATTAAAGCGCAGCATGATTGTTTCTGAATTATAAACTTCTTTCAAAATCCTGCCATAATAACTTATTCCCTCCTTCCACACACACAAACATATATGCATATAATTTTTTCTTTTAAAACAAGTAACTCTCTGCCAATAATTTCCAAGCCAGAGAAAATAATTTTTTGAGATTATGGATAGTTCATTTTAATTTAGCACAAAATAAGAATCACAACACTATCTGACCTGCATTGGCATCTCAATTTTCTTTCTTCTTCCTAGGTGTTTTTTTTTGTTTTGTTTTTTCTTTTTACTGTTCATAGACTTGGATTTCTCCTACTTTCAATTACATAAATATCACTGTGTTTATTTTTATATATTATTTATCCCATATTTTGTCTTCTTCCAAAAAGCTTTTCCTTAGAATGTGAATGGAAATATTTTCTCGTAAACATAATCCAAAATAATGAACCTACAGTAAATTATGAGACCAATCTACTATTAAATTATACACTGGAATATGGAAAATATTTCTCAGTATTTTAAAAATTAAAATACAATACAATTTTTCTTACTTCATTTATTCTGGATAACATTCATTTCTCAGAATCTGAGAATCAAAGAAAGTCCAAACTAGAATGAACCACAAATGATGAAAGAGGCATTTGGTAGCAATGAATTTGGTTCACTAAATTTTGTTGATATTTTGGTTAAAAATTAATATAATCCATCATTGGTTTTTCTAACACTTTAATTAATTGACATTATAGGTGGGTTAGACAACTTTTATGCACCAATCTATTTGTAAATCATGCTTTTCAGAATTCAGTATGTTTACTTTTTAAAATTTCATTTTCACAATTGTTCTTTTTCCATACTTTCTGTTATATTAAAAAATTGAGGGAAAAAACCTAGAAGTCAAACAAGAGGTAATCTGAAAAGAATTGCTCGAAAATGACAAGACTGGTATGTTATTCTTCATATTTTCTGACTTTGTCTAATGGACATGGGCTACTTTTGTAGTAAGGAAAAAACGTGAAAGAAAAGAATCTGGTATATCAGACATTCCATGACATGGCAGTTCAAAGTTTCTAAACAAAGGAACTAACAATGACAGAAAAATTGCAAGATCCCTAAACAGTGAGCCAGCATCCAGCATATTACTTCTCTAGTCCTAATATTTCTAGACTCTCTAGCTTCCAGGCTCTAGATTTATTAGGTACTTCACAATTTTGTACAAGGGGTATAGGTTCAAATACAGAGATTTTCTACTACTTGCCATTGCCTACCAATTAGACACCAAAATAACATTACTTTCAATAGCCATTGTTAATTACTTAGTATACTATAAAGATAGAGTCAGAAGGAAACAATCACTGTAAATTTTTCATCGCTGAACTCCCTACCCCATATTTTTTATGGTATATTATACAAAACGGGAATGCTACCAACCACGCAAAGCAATCGTGACAGACGTAACTGGAAGTCTATTACTTTTCCCTGATATTTGAAAAAAGTTCTAATTCTAAACCTCCCCCAAATTTCCAGCTGTTTTCTTTTTATAAATTAAGTGTATTTTATTTTTTCTTAATTACAGAGGCAATGAATGATACAGAAAATATAAACAGAAATAAAGAAGATACAGAAGATCCATAATACTAACTACTAATCCAGTGACAACTGGTATTCAAACATGTAATATGTATACTAGATCCTATAATTTGAATATTTAGGTTGTTTTTGTTATAAACTGTACAGATTTTAAACGGGCCATGTTTAAAACATAAATTCAGTTCAGATAATCTATTTAATCCTACCACTCTTAATATTTCTAACTTATTTTCATCAATATCATTGATTCATCTTTTCCATGTAATCTGAAATTATCTAAATATTCTTATTTAGTAGCATTAAAAAATGTAACTTGACTCTAAATATTTTCAATTTAGTAATATTAGATCTTGTGTAGCTTTGATGGTTCCTTGAGCACATATATTATCAAAGCCTTTTTTAAAAAATTGCTTTTCAGTGGCATATAGTATTTGATATATCACTATATCATTTTATTTGACAGAAAATACAATATTTTTTAAAAATTAAAATTTTGATAACATTTTTACTTACACTTTTTTCTTGGAGGAGAATTAAGTACATGTAAGCAGTGAAATCCTGTTTTCTTTAATTTAAGGTTATCAATAGGTGTTGTTCTTGAAACATTCCAAATGCGTAAAACACCCACTTGAGAATCTAGTCAGATCAGGGAAAAAGCATATTTTAACAAATTTTGTATGAAACTAAAATGCCTAGACATAAAAGCATAACAAAATTTCAACTGGAAATATTTTAGGACTAATTATTGACATCCTTTGAATAACAATACCATACAGTAGTACAACCAAACAGCTGAAATACTATTTAACCTTTAAATTTTTGGCATGTGTCACTACTTTTTTGCTCCAAAACCTTTTTTTATAGGGTTAGAAACTGCCTGTCTTGGCAGCTTCCTCCAAGAAAGATCATTATAATAACTCAACCACAAAAAAAGACCCTATTGACACATACTTGTTCTAGGAAATGGCCAGCCACAGAAAACCCTCGATTTCTAACCTTAAATAATCAATCCTTCCACCTTTGAAATGTTTATAAACTGCTCCACGGTCCACTTTCAGCCATTAAGGACTGTCAGATATACCTGAAGACCAATCAGACAGTCTCCTCTCTTCCAAAATTCCCACCTTAATTACTGCTTTGGAGAAGAGTCTGGCAGTTCCACAAATGATTAAATATAGAATTACTATATGGCTCAGCAATTCCTCTCCTTGACAAACACTCAACAGAATAATAAGCAAAAGTCCACACCAAAACGTGTACACACATGTTCATAGCATCATTATCTATAACAGCAAAAAGGTGGAAACAATATATATGTCTATCAACAGATGAATGGATAAACAAAACCTGCCATATCCATATAATGACATATTATTCAGCCATAAAAAGGAATGAAGTACTGATACATGCTATAACATGGATGAACCTTGAAAACTTTATGTTAAGTGAAAGAAGCCAGAATCAAAAGGCAACAGATTGAATGGTTCCATTTACATGAAATGTCCAGAAGAAGCAAGGCCACAGAGACAGAAAGTAATGAGCAGTTTATGTTTGCACATGTGTGTATCAGGGACTTTGGCGAGGCAGTAATGGAGAGTAACTGCTGATGAGTACAGGGTTGGCTGGGGGAATAATGACATGTTTTTTAATTAGACGGTGGTAATAATTGCACAGTTTTGTGAATATACTAGAAACCACTGAACTGCATGCTTTAAAAATGGTGAATTTTATATGTGAAGGATATTTCAGTAATAGTAATAATAGACATTAAAAATTTCTATGCCTATTGGGCTGGGCGTGATGGTTCATGCCTGTAATCCCAGCACTTTGGGAGGCTGAGGCAGGTGGATCACTTGAGGTTAGGAGTTTGAGACCAGCCTGGCCAACATGGTAAAACTCCGTCTCTACTAAAAGTAGAAAAATTAGCCAGGTGTGGTGGCATGTGCCACAGTGCAATCTCAGCTACTTGGGAGGCTGAAGCAGGAGAATCACTTGAACCCAGAGGTGGAGGTTGCAGTGAGCCAAGATTGTACCACTGCACTCCAGCCTGCGTGACAGAAGAAGACACTGTCTTAAAAAAAGAATTCTATCCTATTATTAATTATATCCTGAAAAGTTAAAGGCAATTAAGATATATAAATTAAGAATCCATCTACTTTCATGTACAGTTGCCCCTTGTTATCCACGGGAGATTGGTTCCAGGACCTCCCATGGATAACAAAATCCATGAATGCTCAAGTCTCTTACATAAAGTGGCATAATATTTGCATATAACCTATGCATGTTTTCTCGTATACTTTACATCATTTCCACATTATTTACTGTATTAGTCTGTTCTCACACTGCTATAAAGAAATACCCAAGACTGGGTAATATATAAAGAAAAGAGGTTTAATTGACTCACAGTTCTGCATGGCTGGGGAGGCCTCAGGAAACTTACAATCATGGTGGAAGGCAAAGGAGAAGCAGGCACCTTCTTCACAGGGCAGTGGAATGGAGTGAGGGCAAACAGGAGAAATGCCAGACACTTATAAAACCATTAGATCTCGTGAGACTCACTCATTATCACGAGAACAGTATAAGGGAAACTGTGGCCCCCATGATCCAATTAGCTCCACCTGGGTCAGGCCTTGACAATTGGGGATTATGGCAAAGACAATTCAAGATAAGATCTTTGGTGGAGACACAGTCAAGCCATATCGCTTGCAATACCTTATCCAATGCCTACACATCACATGATTCACATGGATTCAACGTAGTACTTGTCACACTGCAAAGTCAGGTTTTGCTTCTTGAAATTTTGTGGAATTTTTTCCCCTAACATTTATCATTCACAGTTGGTTCAATTCACGGATGCAGAACCCAAAGATACAGGGTGGCATCAGTATTATGTTAAGTGTTAAAGAAGTAAAGAATTTAAAATTTTGAGACGATAAAGAGTCTTTGTCTATTATTTTACACTAAGCAAATATGGCAAGTATTTATACAGTAGCTGAACATTCTCTGTTTTTCCAGAGGTCTCTCTCCCTGAACACAATTAAATGGTAAAAGTAGAGAGTCATTTAGTTTCTAATTATTATTCTTCAATTCCCCCATCTTCCCATCCCCTATCACTACTTAGCTTTGCTAATTCTCTCATGACTAGGAAACGATGAAGGAGTATCCGTTCAACCCATGGATCAGTGAGTGCTAGAGTTTGAATGCCTCCCACAAATTCTTGTGTTATAAACTTAATCCCCAATGCAACATTTTTAGGAGACAGGGTCTAATCTGAAGCAATTAGGTCATGTGGGCTCTACTCTTATGAATGAATTACTATAGACAGTGTAGGAGTGGGTTATTTATTGTGAGAGTGGCTTTGTTATAAAAGCGAGCTAGTTCTCCTCTTGCTTTCATGCTCTTGCCCTCTCTTGTTTTCAGCAGCACGAAGTTCCTCACCAGATGCCTGTGTCATGCTCTTGGGCACCCCAGCCTCCTTAGCTTAGCCTTAAACTAATCTAGCTTATAGTTTAGATTACTATAAACCTTTGGTGGTTTATAGAGTACTCAGCTTGTGGTGTTCTGTTACAGCCGAATATTCTGTGGTATTCAGTTATAGCAACACAAAATGGACTAAGGCAGTGAGGCTAATAAAGCTCTGATCAGGTCATTGTTTTTCTGGTCGGCACCTTCACTGTCATCCTACTATGCCTGAAATTGAACTGTCTTTGTCTTTTGCACATACAAAGACCTGCTCACATGTGTGCACATACATAATATATTCCAAGGTATTTCCAGAAACCTGGCAGAGTGAACCTTAAGTTTCATTTTTATTTCTCATTTCATTTTATTTATCATCAATGACACACAATATAAATAAAAGTACACTAGCAATTTACAATGAAGGATAATAATTGAGCTATTAATAAATTTTCCACAAAATCAACCTATAAAGGACAATTTCCTAAATTCAGTGAAAGAATACACACACCTATTTAAAACTCTGCGGGATGGGCATTAGCTTACCTCCAGTTACAAACATCCCCGGAGCACTGGGAACCCAGGCTAAGCACTGCACAGAAGCTGCTGCACTGGGAAGATTAAATGTGGTTATGCAAGAAAACGATTCAGAATCTACGAGGCGAATTCCGGAATGCAAATTAACCACTAGAAGATAGTCGGTAGACAGTGGGTCCCACTCCAAGGCTGTAACGGGATCCTCTTCATCTGTCCCTTCAAGGGATTCAGGTCTCAGAACATGTTTCTGATTTTTATTACCTATTAAAATATAGAGATAATTATTTCCAAAAAACTTGCAAAAAAGATCAATAATTTGGATGATGTTAACTTTTTCCTTGTACAATATCTATCTCTGAGGGTATTGAAAATACAAACGTGGTATTTATATGCAGAAGGCATATGACATGTGAATGCAGAAAAAATTTGTTTGTCCTATTGATGAAAGTCAGACTCAATACTCTGCTTTGACAATTTCTCGTGCCTTGAACGTGTCTCCCATTTGTTACCGAAAAGCAGTAAGAAAATATACAGATAAATAATATACTCAGATCTAGTCCACAATTACAAATTTCACTGGGTTACAGCAGCACAGAAATAGGGAAAATGCTTATTGAAATGAAGAATACTATATAGTGATTTAAAAGGAGAAATATCAGAGCTGGCTGACTGCCTGGGTCCAATCCTACTTCTGCTTCTTACTAGCTTTGCTGCCTCAGACCAGATACTTAATCTCCCTGTGCCTCAGTTTGTTTTTTTTTTTAATAATGGAGAATATAACAATACTTATCTCACAGAGTTTTAAAAATTACTAAATGAATTTGATTAAAATGTTTAGAATAGTGGTGCACATTTTAAATGGCATCTTAATATTTACTGTTATTCCTTTCTCATTCATCTTACCATCTGCCATAATTATAATTCACACCCGACTACTGGTACAAATAGGGAAGCCAGGAAGATACGGAGTTAAAACAAGTCTAATTAAATAAAGCAAAGGATCACCAAACAAACTTATTATTCCTTGTAATTTATGTACACAACTGGAAATACGGAAAAAATAATAATTCTGCTGAGGTACCACATGGGAATCCACTGGGCGAGTCCTCTCATTCTCAAGAGAGGCAGTGAAGCAACAGTTAAAGAGACTACGGCCTTAACAGAAAGTACCAATTAGTCCTGAGTATCATAAAGGAAGCGTTTACTTTTTAAAAAGCACAATTGAAAGATAATACAACTCTTGCTGCAATCCCATAATTACAGAATTGAGGCCAGAAAAACATGTCTCCTGTGTGTTTCTAAAAGGGAGACTATGATATTGGGAAACAAATGTTTGGTTTTCATCCCTGTTTCTTGGCATTACAACTCCTAAAATCCTTGGAATCTCTACAGTGTCTTTTTGTATGCTAATAAGTTGACTAGGTAGCCGGTGGCCACTAGGTGGCTTCACAATGGGGACTGGTCACCGGAAAGACCAAGGCTTGATTAGAGAGTTGGGACCTTCAGCCTCATCTCCCAATATCTAGGGAAGGAAGAGAGACTGAAGGTTAGGCTGATCGCCAAGGGCCAACGTTTTAATCAATATGCCTATGTAATAGAGCTTCTATAAAAACCCAAAAGCAGCAGAATTTGGGAGCTTCCAGAAAGCTGAGCACGTGAGGCTCCTGGAGGGCTGCATGTCTGGAGATAGCAAGGAAGCCCCATGTTCTTTCCCATATGCCTTGCCCTTTTCATCTTTTCATTTGTATCCTTGTAATATTCTTTATAATAAGGTAAGGAAGTGTTTCCCTGAGTTTTGTGAGCTACTCTAGCAAACTAATCAAATTCAAGGAGGGGGCCATGGGAACCTCAATTTATAGCCAGTCATTCAGAAGCACAGGCAAAATAAGCCGGGGCTTACAACTGGCATAAGAGGGGACAGTCACGGGGACTGATCCCTGAGTGTGTGTGATGTGACTCTATCTCCAGGTAGACAGTGTCGGAATTGAATTGGAGGATACCCAGCGAGTGTCTGCTGCAGAGGTGACCACTAGCTTAATCTGTGGAGAAAGCCTCTCACACATCTAGTGTCAGACGTGTGTTGTGAGAGTACAGCAGGAGAAACTGAGTCTGTTTTTTCCACTAAGTAACAGTTATATAGAGACAGTGTCATCAACAATATTCCTAAAATAAAACAAGGCAAATTTTATTAAGGCACATTCATGGAGTAATACGAAAATCAATTCAATTTAAACATGATTATAATAAAGATTTTTAAAAAGGTTCTCTGATGAACGTGGCCTAAGAATACATTTGAGATAGCTAAAGCAGTTTTCCATTTTTTTTTTTTGCCCTGGAATCTTCTGTTCACATGCGAAAGTTTACAAGAAAATCCAGTAAGGAATACAGGATAGCATGGTGCTTTTCAGGCTGAAAGTGAGAAGAAGGCTTAAAGCTCAGCTGGATCATCTATGAAGCCCTCCTACCCTCAATACACACACAAGTATACAAACATACAAAGCATAGTTTAAAAATTACTGATTTAAAATGATGAACTACATTATTGTGGCCAGTTCTCCATGAATATTTATTGTTTCTTCTGAGAAGGACTAGACAACAGAGATATTGAGGTCATAGGTTCCTGCAAGAACCTGGAGGACAGAAATCCTATGTTGTAACACAGGGATAGAGCCATCTGTGGTGCTGGTAAGTCATTAAGAAGATAAGGTTAACAACTCATGAGCAGTAAGAAGCCTAGCTATACTGGTATTAATGCTAACAGTTTCAAACTCACAATCCAGAATGTAGCGTTAGAATTAAAAGGTAGTGATTCCTTCATGATCCATTAGCTCATGTATATGCAAATGGAAAATACCCATCAGGATTGTACCTTTTGTAATGTTTTGTGCATATTAATTGCTAAATAAATCCTGCAGAATAAATGAGGTTAACAAGTCTGTACTGGGTTGTTACGGATTGAACTGTGCTCCCTCAAAAAAGGCGTTAAAGTCCTAATTCCCAGTACCTGCCAATGGGATCTTATTTGGAATTAGGGCCTTCACAGATGATAAAGTTAACATGAGGCCCTTAGGGTAGAGCCTAATCCAGCATGACTATGTCTTTACAAAAGGGAAAGTTTTGTCAGAGAGACATGTACGCACACAGCAGGGATGCCACGTGCCATGTGAAGACTGCAGTTATACTGCCACACGCCAAGGAACAGGAAGCCAGGAGACAGGCCTGGAACAGATTCTTCCTTAGTGTCTTCAGGGGGAGCATGTCCCCTCTTGACACCTTATTTTATACTTCTGGTCTCAAGAATTGTGAGATAATAAAATTTATGTTGTTCTAATCTATCCTGTTGGTTATCGTTTTCTTACATCAGCCCTAGTAAACTAATACATGGGTGGAACAGAAAAATAACACACGCTGACTTAGGTACAGATGGTTTCACTTGGTTTAACAACTGGAAGAAGGGGTTATTGAAAAACAATGGTCTCTTCTGGAAGGCACATAGCTCAGATTGTTCAAATATTAAACATTCTATCTTCTAAACCTAAGAGAGAGAAAACAAAAGTGGCCTTTTCTCTTTCCTGTTCTTTCTATGTCAAAATAAACATGCACTGTCTCAATGTTTTATATTTTAGATACACAATAAAAAGTCTCAATGTCCTATGGCTTGAAACGTTCAAAGATGCCTAATAATTATAAAGCAAGAAAAAAGACAACCTTAGTCAATGACAAGAGGGTAAAAATGACAAATCATAAAATATAAAAAATATCTAGAGTGCAATTTAGAATAAAATAAAAACACACTGCTCACATCTTCTTCAGATCTAGCTTGAAAAGAAAGTGTCACAACCCTGATGAAATCTTTGGGTGCAGGCCAGGGAAGAAGTGGAGGAATATCACTAATGAGATTTGGTTACATAACCCAGAGAGGTAAGACGAGGAACCACACAGCATACAGCCATGTTTATTATAGATTGCATTCCTGAGTCTAAGGAAGACTGTTGGAAATAAAGGTTACAGAGAAAGAAGTGGTATTCACCAGATCAAAACAAAGAAAGCTAGGAATTATATTGCCTAACTATGAGCCTTAACGACCGACTATAAAACAGAATCGGCTTCCAGTGCAAGGATGGAACAGGTAAATTGCAGTGCAGGTACCTGGTACCGCAAATCCAGAAGCAGCACCAGTCATTGATCCCTCCTCATCCTAATCTCCAACAAATCAGTGAAACTGTCCCCATGTAAACCTGGTACAACCAGAAGGAACAACAGAGGACAGGGACAAAGAGCTGAGATAGAAGCTGGGGAAGAAGTATAGGAACATTTATTTTTATCTTTCTTTAAAAGGTAAAAATAGACCCTGTTTAAAATGTATTTAGAATATAAGGGCCCCAATGTTTCAGTGTTTTACACAATCCTTTTTAACTTTAGAAACATTATTTCCTGAAGAAAGATTTGTTTAAATTTTCACAATTTCATTTGTTCAATTTCGATTTCTTTTTTACATTAATTTCACACAAATTAAATGTAATTTGTTTTGTGAAAGTAGGTATCGTGTTCCTGAGAAAGCACTTTCATTCATCCATCTAGCCAGCCAGAAGTCACATCCATCAACAGTGATATCAAATGGTTAAAAGCATTTTCCCAAATGTTAAAAATACTTATTTTTGAGGGGAAAGCAAGCAATTCAGGTAATTTTTGATGTTTCAATCTTACTTTTGTAAATTAGTTATGTAAGAACATAAACTAATTTCTCAGACCCTTTCATTAAGCCAAATCAATTAACTAATAGGGGTTCGAAGGGTTATCATTTTTCTTTCATGCCAGTTTCAAGCCTCTGCCAAGGAGCCGTGGCATCAGAATGGTATTTTTACAAGCGAATGGGAAAATATTTAGTATTAGTAAGCCATCATATTCTCTAGTTGTATGTCCTTGTTCATTCAGGTTGCTTTTAGTAAATACACAGAAATAAAAAATTGATTAAAAAT